CCGCAGCGATAAAAATGGCCGACTAGCATTAGCCGTACAATGGCGGAAGCGCTCTAGCTTTGCAACGAAGCATTTTCAGAGAAAACCGTTCGAAAGTTCTGACCTTCATTGCCCGTTGAGTAGGTCGTATCGTTTGTGAGACGAACAGACATTCGAGAGGTGAGATTGAGAGTAACAGACACACAGACCCAACTACCGTAACCCTCGCTGCGCATGCGCGCCGAGGGTTAAAAAACTCGTTATGTACATTATAATGGTACTCTTTTTAGGCATTAATTTTATGTACATGTATGTCTAGTTAATCGCTTTTCATCTGTACAGATCCGGCTACTGATGGAGGGACTGTTTTCCCACTTCTTCTCTGCCGACCGGCGCGGCTACCACGAGGAAGACATGAGGTGGTTCCTGGAGCTGGCCAACCAGCAGGACGACTGGTGTGTGCCTCATGTCTCTGACATTGTCATCGGTGGAACTTCAGAACAAGACCTGGTGGACGAGCTGCAGAAGAGCATCTACGAGAAGGAGAAATCTCGTACTGCCACTCTCACAGTGGAGGTATGTGTAATACTTTTGAAAGTGCACTCTGTGTGTTTATTAACCCTCGGCGCGCATGCGCAGTTCGCCGAGGGTTTGCACTTTAGTGCCTTTTCATTCAAATTGCGTTTGTTTAAGTTAGAACCCAGGCAAATACCTGAAATTAAGGTTTGGTGGACCTAGTGATAGTTCGTGACAACACACGTAAAGAAAACTGATTGTGTTACGTCCGAGTGAAAAGAGACTGCTCTTCTCTTTCTGTCTACATTCTGTAATAGAGACTTCTTCACGGCTTTTGTTTTTGATGCTGTATTGATTGAAAAACGGCTTATTGCAAGGAGGCAGGGAGTTTGTGAACTGCAAAAAATTGTATACACTTCACAGATTCCCAAGGATGCCATAAGCATGTGCACGTTCAAGATGTACCTGTCGCGACTGCTGGGAGAGTGTGACCGCCAGAATGAGGACCCCGCGAGGTGTGGACCTCTCCTCCTCCATCAGTACCACCCCAGACTCCAGGTGGGCCAGGCCCTCGTGAAGAAAGCCTCAGTCGGCAGCTCCGGACCCTACATCCCAACATTCTACCAAGAGTCCCCGGGCCATCTGCCCCCGAGCAGGCAAGCCTCGGGAGACGAATGCAGCAACCGCTGGCCCACCTCTACTTTCTGACGGTGTTGGAGCACGTCCTCGCCGAAGAGAAGAGCCTTGCTAACATGGCAAAGGCAGCGAGACAGCTCTCGGATCTCGTCAACTCGGGGACCTCCTCTGATCCAGCCCAGCAGGCAGTGCTGCAGATTGAGCTGCAAGCCGTCCTCCAAGTCGTCGCGAAGCTCCTGGCAAAGCTGCTGGGTGCAGAGTCCGACGAACGGGCCCAGTTTGGGGAGCTGAAGGACAGCATCGAGGATATCAATCGTCTGTTTGGTGACGTGAGCACGGGGGGCGAGAGAGTGGGCGGCCACGGTATGGTGGTGGCTCTACATCTGCTCAAGGTTCTCAAGAGCTCGCGGAAATTCATTGAACTGATGACCACCAAATTCGAAATGAGGTGTAGGGAGATCAAGTGTCTGTGGCCGATACACGAACGACTTCAGGTACGTATGCTCTCTGACTGTCCAACTGATGACCAAGTGTCTTACGTATGTTTACCACCCATTTCTTTACACCTAATGAACAGCTTTTATGTAGCTTATTGAATATGTTGATTTCCAGTCGGTACAGGAAAGTTCTCCCGATTAAAATTGGCTCTTTTTTGTAGATTCATATCTCCTTTACTACATAAGTAAAGTTTAAGTGCCATTATTAGAGAATGCACTAAGCTAATTGTGTATTGCTCTGCGCATCAGGAACCGGGGGAATCTACTGTTCACCTACTGCCCTTCATGCTGCCGGGGGTGGGGGGGTAGAGGACGACCTGAGGGGACTCTACAAGAGGGTGAAGAAGGCGATGGAAGAGATCCACCAACTGAACAACGCAAATAACATCAAGGAACTGGAGAGGATAGCAACTGAGTGGTCAGTGGAGCCAACCACACAAAGCTGGTTCATAACAATGATGCTAGCATCTCCACAAAGTATTAAAGTTGCGTAGAGTTGCGCTGGGATATATAACTATGTATCCCTGCATACGTTGTGCCATAGGCTGGTGCAAGAGAACAAAAAGTAGTTATGAACTTCGTGTTGGCTTTTGAACCTGGCTTTATCATCAAACAGCACGAGGGTTTTTCTTCTGTGATGTGTACGTATAAAAAAGCTTCCAAATGAATGTGTTGAAGTATGTGTGTTTTCTACCCCCAGCAACTCCCCGAGGCGAATGTCTGGAGGCACAGACCGTCTGTCGCCAGGCAAACGAGTCAACAGCCACTGCAACTTTAAGATGATGATGTGGCTGGTCATTTTCTACGAATTCTATGATAAAGGAGTGAGTTGAACACTTTGGAAGAGTAGTGATAGGTCTTGCACAGGTAGATAATAACGCTGTACCTAACATGGTGTACATTATCATGTGCCACTCCAGGGTCGAGGTTGCAGTGCGTCGCGTTGCCCTGTTGTATATAGTGTGCTGCATGGATCCTCGCGACGGTGCACAGTGCGACGTATTGCGAACCTAGCCTAAACCGAAGTATTTAACTCAGGCTGGGGACTAGAACCGAAAACAATTTACCCTCTGAAATATATCCAACAGAAACAGTCACCGACACTGTGCGGCGTGATTGGCTCGGAAGACTTATCACAGTTGTCTAAGTTGGCTGGACTTCGGGAGTCGGAGATCAGACTGTTCCAGTGTTTCCTGGACACGCGGCTCATGCAGTGCCGGCCGGAGGATCCCAACACTCTGAGGCTGGACGAAGAGGTTCTGGAACTGGGTCCTGGTGGACGGCTCCGCCGCAAGCAGCCTCGGGGCAGACACAAGATGGTGGACCCTCTCCACGAACTATTCCATCCCACTGACCCTACAACAATTGGTGCGTTGGTATCTGTGTCACACACTTTCATGCACAGAATCTTAATGAGAATGTGTCAGTATAGGGCCCAGTGCTTTAGTCCTTTTATACTGCCACAATTTTTGGATACCAAGGTTTACTAAATGTGCTTTGTAGAAGTGCATTTCTCTCTAAGTGAACAAAACTGTCTATGCAACTGCTCAGTCACACTCGTTACACTCTCTGTTACGCTCCACTGCAGACCAGTCCGACAGAGACCTGAGGTATGCCTTGGCCAACATGGTGGCAGTCGTCCTCGGCTGCGAGCCAGAGTCCAACCATCTCTGGTACCACCTCTTTGACCAGGAGCCCCTCTGGAACACCTACCTCACCGGGTTCATGTACAGCAGCAAGATCAACAAAGACGGCCTCCTCTACGACTGCGGCGTTGAGCTTACTCCAGACGGCCAGTTTGGAAGACAGGACTATCACAAACACGCCAGCCGTGGGACCTACACCCTTCACTCCCTGTACCTTCTGCTCTGGGCTAACTTTGGAGCTTTCTGCATGGCTCTCCTGGTGCTACCGGATGCAGACAGGACCATCCACGGCCCGCTCATCTCCGAGTGGTTGTCCGTGCGTCACTACTGCATCTCGCAGCTGAGGACAGTCTGGATGCACATCCGGAACAATCTGGGAATTTCGGACGAGGAGCGGTCGTTCCTCATCATGAGATGTATGAAGACACTCTATGAGGTCAGTCGGCAAAGCTTTGGTGCAATAATTCTTGCAATTCCACAATGTGACTAGCTAAGAGTGTTCGGTATTACGTATGTGCCTCTGTGGGGCAATATTTGCACGCTGTGATTTCAACTCTCGACAGTTCACTTTTCTTTAGCTTATCACTTGAACACTTTTTTTATACCTTTGTGTACACGTCATTTATTGGCTAGCAAAGTGAGCCTACCTACGTAGTCATATGAATGGGGGAATTTTCATAATTGACCGGCAATGCACATACTATTTTATGGCACGGATATAATTGTGTACATAATAATAATTATGTGGAAGTGATTCGCTCTGTATCTTTGTACTAGGTGTTAAACTCGGACACGAGCGACCCTGAGACTCGCAGGGGCGTGTTCACATCCATTGAGCAACTGGACAGCTACGAGAAGCTCTGGCACGCCCGTGTCTACAGGCCGTCGCGAGATGAAATGACAGAGAAGGTGCGTGCCGTGTTGAAAGGGTGGGCTCATTTTGATCAGAGTCGTTTCTTTCTTCTGCAGTTTATCCAGTATTCCAACGTCATGCAACATGCTGTTTTTGTGGAGATGAGGTATGGATTAGTTTCCATGCATGTGTACTGTTTGAGAGTGCGTACACTGTACGTGCGTTCATATGGGCATTGTCTACATGCGTACATACATGCACACGTACTACGTGCATACAGACGTGTGTGCATACGCATACGGGATGTGATATATGTACAAATTGTTGTTGCCCCCTCCTGTAGGAGCCTCGAGCTATGCTACCCTCACTACCCCACCGAGCAGGACTTCACTCACAGTGTCCTCAGCTCGGGCGACGTGGTCCGCGAAGACATTGCCCTCCTCTCTCGCTTCTCCCTCCAGTGGCGGCGACTGCAGGCCGGCGGAGAGCTCCTGCCTGACCTGGTCGAGCTGTACCAGTGGCTGCACACCGACCTGGCCCACCTGGTCAGCTACGACAAGGCCTGCACGGTCACCATCAGGAAAGTCATCAACAGAGCCGTTAAAAAGTACTCACGCGACCGGGGACAGTACTTGGAGCAGCTCTTTGTCAGGGTCAAAGGTGAACCACCATAACATGCACACTCATTTGTACGGCTAGAACATACATATCCGAGCAAGTTATTAGTGGTGTTCAAACATGTGCACTGTCTGAAGTGTGATGAGTTGTTGGTAGTAAAACAAGTAGGCACATCTCACTTTTTTGTATATCCGAACAAACAGTGAAGGTGGGTGCCATAGAGGGTGGAAAAAAATTTAGTGTTGTAAATGTGTGGGCTATCCACCATTGATATGTGTGCTTGTGTGTCTATGCAGAGGGCTACAACAAATACGTGGAGCTGATAGGAGGCGCCATCGGAGTGGGGGCGTGTGCGGCAGTTCGCCAGGGAAACAAGATATACACCATCGACGATGACATTCCTCTTCTTCACTTCCTCACTGGTCAGTGGCTGACTAGGACCTGATCATCTTCAGCTATACTATTACTAGCAACACATTTTTGGCGAGAGAAGCGAGCAGTTCGATTTTTGGTGTGTTTTGAATCACGTAGAACGTGCATGGTCAGTGCAGGTCACAACATATAAATGGTAATATTTTACAAAAATTCCCATGCTAAGATGTAGCTTGCGTCGCTCGCTACTTATACATGCCTCTTTTACGAATGCTAGTTGTAGTTGAATCATGCATCATGTTCTAATGCTCTGAAAACCACAAGTAGTGATGACTGTTGAGAGTTGGTGTTGTTTGTATGTGCGTACAGATGTGGAGGAGGAGGAGCAAGGGAACGACTGGCTGTTTACAGTCATAGCCGACATCATCACTGCTCACAACGACATGGTGGAGCTGCCCCGACAAGTGGCATCTCAGCCGTTCAAGCGACTCCTCCCCCAGCAACAGTCCACGGCGTATCCCGGAGAAATCGCCACTGCTAACTGCATCATCCCTCACTTCAAAATGTATGTAGCAAACAAGCCGCCTTCTATTGTATCTACCGCGATGCTGTCACATTATATTGTGCATACATCAAGCAAGATTAGGCGAAAGTTGTACTCTACAGACGTGCTCATGCTTGCTTGCCAAATCAAAGACATACGTACGCACTTAGCTGCATAGGGCCTTTGCTTATGTCGAGTAGAGTTGCTAAAACCCAGTTTTGGTCCTGGCTTCAAGAGCAGTATAATAATATAGTAAAGTTACGCAGCATTGGGTTGTTAGCTTATCTTGGAAACATAAAATACTGCTGCAATGGGGTGACCAGCAATTCGTTTGTGGTCCAGGTCGCTACAGGATTTTATATGTTGTCGAAGGACATTATTGGCGAGCGAAATGAAAGTGCAAATTTTCAGTGATCTTACATGTGTTTACTGTAAGGACCTCACTGTCTACAAGTACAGGATTCAGACAAGTAGGTGGGCTCACTTCGCTTCAATTGGGCAGTCTGAATGCAATAAGTGGTTGTACTGCTATACATGAGTGACTCACTCTTCCAAACTTCCCTACAGGCTGCATGGAGTCAATGAACTGGTCCAACTCCTCCGCAGTCGTCACCGGAACATTCTCCACACCTACCCCTCCTTCTCTCCCAACGTGGCCCGGCAGCAGCAGTCGGCCACCATGTCCCTCGGCTCTGCCCCCTCCCCCTCGCCCGCCTCTCCTCTCTTCCACCTCCAGGAGCTCCAGGAAGACATCATTGTCTCCTTCGTGGCCGGGAAACCCTTCATACTTGACGTATCTGTACTCCGCACTCTGTTCAAGTTCAAAGTGTCTGTGCCCAGAGCTCTGCAACACAAGGCCGAGTAAGTAGAGCTACGTAATGGACCGGTGTACTAGTCTATAAAGAGGCAACAAAATAACTCTAATAGGTTTTGAAGTTAAGTTGGACATTGAAATCTTTTCACTATAGAATTTTTCTTCCTTTACAAGTGTAGAATCTACGTATAGAGAAACTGGGGAGCAAAAGCTATTTTTGTCGTAAAGGGATCTTTTACCCCTCTTGCCAACTGCATATGGCTTACGTCTGTACTGCACTCTCTCTCCCTGTGTTCAGTGTGATCAGCTCAGACGAGCTGGCGGCCATACAGGAGAGGCTCCCCGAGGAGCTGAAGGGAGACATGGACCAGGAGTTCTGTAAGAGACTGGAGTTTGAGTTCCACCCAGCCGACTACCACGTCATGCTGGCCACCACCACTGGCCTCAAAACTGCCGCCAACCACCTTGTCAAGGTCGGTGATATATACAACTGTGTAGATTAGGTCGCAATAGGGGTATAGCCATGTGCTTTTTTCACTGGGGCTTTGTACGCCAGCTCACATCACATGTGGAATAGGATAGGTCCCAAACCTCGATATTTATACACATTTTCTTTCTTCCTGAAGGCACAAAATCTATGTACACCACCATACATCTGCCTCACTGACCTCTCCCCTCTATCTACTCTCTCCTCTCTTCCTCTCCTCCCCCTCCCTCGGTCAGTTTGTGATAAGCAATAGAGTTGAGGCCCTCAACCTGCGACAGACCCTGGCAGACTTCCTCCTCTCTCTCTACGACGGCCTAAACTCCTTCAAAGACGCCCTGAACGAGATCGGCATACAGAAACTCACCAACAACCAGGTGGTCTGTCTCTCTGAGCTGCCCCTGGTTCACCTCTACTACTGCCTGAGGGTGTTTGCCACGTGGATGGAGCAAGGCATGTATGACTTCTCTGCTCTGCCCTACACGCTCAAGGCACACCTTCAACCTAATGACCTATCCACGCTGAAGGCTATACCAACAAACTGGGACGGTGAGTAAATGTTTTGTGCAGTTTTCTATTAGTTTTGAAAGTGACGTTAGTTGCCTGAATTATCTACTCCTGCTGCCACCTGGTGTTTTAAGTCTATAGCTGTAAAACTGTGTTCTATATCTTGAGACTGTTGTATGCCGCTGTATATAGTAGGGGCAAATCCCCAAACGTAAAAAAATTTGCAAAAGTAAACGTGCATATAACAAATAATTTGGGGGTAAATTGGGAATGTTCCAGGGCCCTGGGACGTGAAAAAAACTCCCTCCTCCCTTCTCCCCCAGCGTCCATGAGTGAGCTGATGAGCGAGGTGGAGTCAATGAACAGCCTCCTGTCACACATTGAGGGTTACATCACCAGGCAGGACGCCGGGCAGACGGAGACACCGATCGCGGCTTACCTCAGGAACCTCAAACTCATCAGTGACGACGAGAGACTGCCACGGCACATCCCCAACTCGGTCCTCCTCCAGCACTTCGTGGAGTTCAGGATCACTCTGAGAGGGTTAGCAGGGGTTCATGCGCATCCCACTAAACCTCAAAGTGCCTCAGAATCAGACTATATACCCCTTTGTCAAAAAAATATATTTATACCCTGGTGAATTGTCCTCCTTAGCACCTATGCCAGATTTTATACAGTATGTGCTGCAGGGGCGCTGCACATACCATCGTGATTCTAAATACGCGCGAACAATTCACCCCCCAAAGTGTACGCTTTGCATGCAAAACTCAACTTAAACTGGGAGCAGCGATACTTAGCGATACTTCCATAAACAAAGTACAGGCACTAGCTTTTTTATGCTTGTCTTTTTTTATACTGTTGATGTAGGATCATGAGTGAGGTGCAGCAGAGGTTAGGACCAGGAAGCCAAGGAGAAAGAGGCGGCAGAGAGAGAGCCGAACCACTGGAAGGAAGTGGTGGAGGATATATGGGAGGAGTTCCTGCCACACTTTAGAGGAGCAATGTACACCGGAGATGGGCTCTTTCTCTACGACGCTGCCGAGGGGTACTATTTTGTACCAGAAAGAAGATGGTAGCGAGGAAGAGGATGATCTGATGGGAGGTGGAGACGAGGAGGAAGAGGAGGGGCAAGAGAGGGAGAAGGAACGGGAGGAGAGAGAGGAGGATGATGAGTTCGGTGTGATCCCTGATGGAGGTATATACAGTGGATCCCCATACACTTTGCTAATCACCATGACACACTGAAAAGATGAACTTATTCTTAGGTTAGGTTCACAATACGTCACTTTGCCCTGGGCAATGCGACATGAATTGTGAACCTAACCTTAGCCCAACAAAACCTTATATACAGGAAAATGAAGAAGCCCACTTAGTTAAGTGCTTAGAGCATTATTGACTCTCAGTCATTCTGCCTACTTAGTCTCCTGTGTTTTTCTCTCAATTTGTATGCTTTTATACACATGGTACTTGTGATCTTCAAGTGTATGGTCCATGTGCAGGAATAAGTGAAGCGGATAGAGTTGCTGAGTTCACTCCTGAGCGAGTGGCAGAGTTCCTCAAGGGCATTGGTCTCAGCAGGTATGCCCAGTCATTCCTGGCCTTTGAAGTGACCGGAGAAACATTGCTGGAAGCTAGAGACAATGATCTGAGGGATATTGGTGTCCTGCTCAGACTTCACCAGGTCAAGATCATCACCGTCTTCAAGAGAGTTGTCACTGGAGAATCACCTACAGGGTTAGACTGAGACCACCCCACGTACTGTACCCATCAGGCGCAATGTATAAAGCAAATGTGTTGAGTGAATGCCTTTCGGTCCACGTGTGGACGTATTATAACTTGTCTGTACTCTGTTGTGATAGCCTTCGTTGTTATCGGTGAGCTATGCAAGCTTACCAACAGTGCTATGTATAGCTACCTACTTAGCTTGAATAATGCAGCATCTAGCATGATAGCGGTTAAACCAAAGCAACTAGTGCTATAATAGATTCCCTAACTTGCCTCTGGCTATAGTCAGTGTGTGTTCTTTTGCTATACAGTTTGACGGTGGACGACGTGGTCAACTTTCTAAAGAAGCTAAAACTGGACACGTACGTGAATCCCTTCAGAGCCAACGGAATCGATGGCGATATTCTGGAGGCCATTCTGGCAAGAGATGGCGACAAAGTCATGATGGAGAGCATAGGACATGAGATGAAAGTGACGGACATCATTCTCGAAGAACTAGGAGTTACAAACGGCATTCAAAGAGCCAAAATCCGCACTTTCAAGAAATTTCTCTCCAGCTCACTGGCCTCGGTTCGTAACAGTGTTCAGAGCACAATGAATGCAAGTGTTAAAACCACCACCAGTCGTGCCAGCGTTCAGTCGAAAAGTTCCAGTCACACTGGCAGAAGAACCTCATGAGAACATATCATAGAAAGATGCTATAGTTCTTGCACTGTAAATTTTTTGCCGCTGTAAATTATAGTAGTATAATTGTCGATGTATTGTATAATAATTATTATAATTATTGTATTGTATTGTCATTCTCTGAAGAAGGTGCACGGAGAATGCATGCGCTTATACTGACTCGATCGCGCTCGCAAGTGACTTAATTGTTATTCTCAGGTTAGCTGGGTCCGTCAGCTAGGATTACATTACATGTATGCCTGGCGTATTAAGGGTTAACCTGCCGTTATGCTTGTGATGTTTAGAGATTGTTGTGTGCGTGTGTGTGTGTGTGCGTGTGTCACTGCAGATGTTGATAGTGGGAGGTATTGACCGAGTCTATGAAATTGGAAGACAGTTTAGAAATGAAGGTACACTAAAGGGGAAAAAACCTTGGGTGGCAAATAAAATTTCATGAGGAAAACTTTCGTGGACTGCTTGTCCCTCTGTATGAATGGTCCTCATCCACAATATTCTTCATGGGAAAAAAAATTTGAAGGGAATGTGGCAGTAGATAAGGGCTAAATTTAGAAGTGTTACTAAAGATAGAACAAAACAGAGCAAGAATGCCATTTTCAGTAACAGTTTCTAAATTTAGCCCCTATATGTTCAATTCTCCTTTGAAAGTTTCCATTGTTAAGGTGTATATAGATACTGCCTGAGGTTCAATATGGCATATACTGTATATAATGGCTCATTATTATGTTGTAGGTATTGACCTGACCCACAATCCTGAGTTCACGACGTGTGAGTTCTACATGGCCTACGCCGACTACAACGACCTCATGGAGATCACCGAGCAACTCCTCTCCGGTGAGTCACATCTTCCTTGTCTTCTCGTATCATTGCATGTTCATGTTCATTGACACTCGCAATTGAATTCCAGTTCCACAGTAATGGCTCTACGCACTGCTGCGTTCACCTTATTATGCTGTATTATTATAGGTCTTTGAAGTGGATTTCACTCCTCCGTTTCGCCGTATCCCGATGATAGCAGAGCTGGAGAAACAGCTGGGAGTCACCTTTCCCCCTGCCTCCACTTTCGGCTCCCCTGGTATGAGACACAGCACCACGTGTGTGCATGCTTTTCTGCCCTGTGCGTTCATGTGTTGTGTGTAGTCATAACCGTAGAAAATAGGGAGGCCGAAAATGTTCGTACTTTTGGTGACCAACTGGGGCAAGGGACAGTCGAACGAACAATTCTGAAAACATTGACTATGGTTGGAGTGTGCAGTGCAAATGATCTAAGGAGTGAATGCGTTGTGCAATTAAATAATCCTCAAGAGTAACAGCAAAAATTAGGGTGGTCTAAACTTTTAGTATTTATATATAGTGAGCAAGTGAAGAAAGGGACAGGCCAACCAACTATTCCGAACACCTTGGCAACAGCTAGAGTGTACATATATACTGTGGAAATAGCCTTTATTAGAGAATTACATTTCACACGACCACAGAAAACTATATGTTTAACTTTCCAGAGTTCCAGAAGTTTCTGGATGAACTTTGTCTGAAACACGGAGTGGAGTGTAGGCACCCCAGGACCTCAGCCAGACTACTGGACAAGGTAACCAATAGTGGGCATCTATTACTATATATGCACGAACCATACAGCATAATCACATGTTAGGAGAAGAACGTTTGTTACTGCATACACTACTTCTCTTTGTCTTCACTGTATATATACACAGTTGGTAGGGGACTTCATCGAGGTCCAGTGCATCAACCCCTCCTTCATAATGGACCATCCCGAGATCATGAGTCCTCTGTCAAAGTGGCACCGCTCCATCCCCGGCCTCACAGAGCGCTTCGAGCTCTTCGCCTGTCAGAAGGAGATCGTCAATGCCTACACGGAGCTAAACGACCCGGTGGTGCAGAGGGAGAGGTTTGCACAGCAGACGCAGGAGAAAGCCAAAGGAGACGATGAGGTAAACTACGTAAATGAAAGCACGAGATCTTGGGGAAAGTAAAGGTTTTCCTTATTAGAGAGGTGTCCTCATTTCGCTGAATTGAGGATCTGTTCATTTGCCATCCATGCCTTGTGTTGACACTGTGTGATGCATGATTTTAGGCTCAACCAGTGGACGAGAACTTCTGCACAGCTCTGGAGTACGGACTCCCTCCGACTGGTGGGTGGGGCCTTGGTATTGATCGTCTCACTATGTTTCTCACCGACTCGGCCAACATAAAGGTCAGACCTTTGTTATCCTGCAAAGATTTTTGAAGTAATAAACGTAATACAAAAAGAGACACTGACTGGGGAAAGCCTTACATGTTTTAGGCTTTAATTGTGTGTTTTTGGCAACTGTATGCAGAAATTCCAACAGTTTATTTCGGTGTATGTAGTGGCATCTACAAACATACTGGAAGAAATCAGCGCAATTTTGACAACTACGAATCTCACTTTGCTTGCCAATAATGCTATGGGATGACCTCACACACACACACACACACACACACACACACGGACACTGCAGGAGGTGCTGTTCTTCCCAGCCATGAAGCCAGATGATGGATCCAGCAAGCCAGACAGTGCGGCTGCTGCAGCTGTCCCCCAACCTCCTCCCTGTAAAGACTAGACTGACTGCTTCATCCTGAATAAGATTGGTCTCAATCTAGTGTCTTTAAATTAGTGTGTGAGTCCTTAATTTATGATGTTGGTGATGACTTTTACAAGAGCTGTCTGCGTGTGTGAGCATGCGCTCCTGAACGTTTTGCGTAGAGAGCTAGAGGCGGGGCTGGTGTGTTGCGCTCTAAATAGAGTATGGGGACGCGCATGCAGGCAAGACTTGCTTACTTCGGTGTCGGGGTTCTGGCGGGTGTGGGGGCAGGAGCAGGCTACTGGCGAGTCTACAAGCAGCTCGAACTCAGCGACAGTCTCGAATCTCGACACAAGAATACAGAACTTCCTCTGGAACAGCGAGTTTTCAAGTCTGACTAACTACATATGTAGCTTGGCAACTACACCATACCATGATGATTATACACAAAGCTACTGCAACAATATCCAGTCTATCCCAGATTTTCTCTGAGTGCAGTAGTTGTGTTGTTTGTCTTGTTGCCTTGTCACATGTATCGATAAGCTATGCGTGTAGCTACATACAATGTCCCTGACACATCTTTAGGCCAACATGAGCTGTGTCTGATATCGTTTTTAAGAATCATCTCTGCTCTAGATATGGCCGCCCTGAGTCCCCCTTCTCATCTCGTACCTACACCTCTCACTCGGTGCTCTACGACCACGTTCACAAGGTTCCTCTCTGGTCAGCGGAGGTCATCACTCCACAGGGCATCTCTGGTCCCGCCAAACGTGGCAACAGCAGGTTCCAGGTACAGTGAGGACACTATAAGATAGAAGATGTTACCGTTCCATACTCCAATACTAGTCAAACTACTCCCCATTGTTGGTTTGTCTCTTATATATCCCACTCTTGTGCCTACAAAAATGCGAAATCGTTGACACCTTTTTTGGGGGGGACAGCGAAATTTGGGCGAGATAAGGATAGGTGCAGCAAGATAGCAGATGTTACCATTCCATACTCCAACACTAGTCAAAGCACAACGCATAGTTCATTTGCCTCTTCTTCCACTCTTGTGCCTACAAAAAATGCGAAATCCTTGACACCTTTCTTTTAGCGAAATTTGGGCGAGATAAGGATAAGTGCAGCAAGATAGCAGATGTTACCATTCCATACTCCAACACTAGTCAAAGTACTACGCATAGTTGGTTTGTCTCTTCTTCCACTCTTGTGCCTACAAAAAATGCGAAATCGTTGACACCTTTATTTAGGGGGGACAGCGAAATTTGGGCGAGATAGGGATAGGTGCAGCAAGATAGCAGATGTTACCATTCCATACTCCAACACTAGTCAAAGTACTACGCATAGTTGGTTTGTCTCTTCTTCCACTCTTGTGCCTACAAAAAATGCGAAATCGTTGACACCTTTATTTAGGGGGGAGCGAAATTTGGGCGAGATAAGGATAAGTGCAGCAAGATAGCAGATGTTACCATTCCATACTCCAACACTAGTCAAAGTACTACGCATAGTTGGTTTGTCTCTTCTTCCACTCTTGTGCCTACAAAAAATGCGAAATCGTGACACCTTTATTTAGGCGAAGCAAATTTGGGCGAGATAAGGATAAGTGCAGCAAGATAGCAGATGTTACCATTCCATACTCCAACACTAGTCAAAGCACTACGCATAGTTCATTTGCCTCTTCTTCCACTCTTGTGCCTGCAAAAAATGCGAAATCCTTGACACCTTTATTTAGCGAAATTTGGGCGAGATAGGGATAGTGCAGCAAGATAGCAGATGTTACCATTCCATACTCCAATACTAGTCAAAGCACTACGATAGTTCATTTGCCTCTTCTTCCACTCTTGTGCCTACAAAAAGTGCGAAATTTTTCTATTTTTGCGGCACGGCTGCAACGGGACAATGTGATGTATCATGAATCCAGTGCTACTTAAGGTTTCTCTGTGTTACTGCCTCTCAAGTATTTGTATGTTGATGTGCCAACAGCCAGACCCAACCATACTGACCAGGTTCTCCTCCGGAAATGCCGACTACCTTAAAAGTGGATGGAGTCGAGGTCACATGACCCCGGCGGCAGACTGCAAGCACTGTCAGTCAGCCATGGATGATTCACACTATCTCACAAACATCGTCCCTCAGGATTTTAACAACAACAGCGGGTAAGCCATCTCCTGTGTTGTTAAAATGTTCATAATAATTACCAAAACCATGCATCTACTGGTAAGTCACCCTCTATGTTGCTAATATAACCATAATCATCCCTAATTACTTTACAGGTAAGTAAAAGGATCATAATTTGACACTCTTTAATGACCATAATCTTTGTCAGGACTTCACCATTAAGTCAACCTCTATATTTTGACATTCTTTAAACTGCCAACATCATGCATCAAGACTTTGACGAGTAACTCGCCATCCTTTGTGACGAAGGTGTTAAATATAATTTGACATTCTTTAAACCACAAACGTCCTGCCTCATGAGGACTTTGGCAATTACACACTCCGATAACTTGCCATCTACATCTACTGTGTATGTGATGATGAACATGCTTCGTTCCTTTGACAGTATATAACAGCAGGTGATGTTGGGAGATTTTCGAGGATGCAAAACCTTGTCCTTAAGACGTCATATCTGTAGTATCCTAACCGCTCTTCTAGTACGTGATGCATACGAGGCCCTGCCTACCCAAGTCCGCGCACTACGGATGCACGTGACATTCATTGGCTGTTCTGCAATCTGATTGGAGATCACGATTTCTAGATCCAGGACCAAGAAACTCTGCCAATAGTTACCAGACCCCTTTTCCACGTGATGAGTTGGTAGTGTAGCTCATAAGAGATTTTTGTTGGCATTCTTCTTCAGAATTGTGTCTGGCCACAAACATTTGTACATTTCAAACATGAGCTCTGATAGTTTGGTCCTTCCAGAGTTTTTCCGAGTGCAGAATAAGTGGCCTAGGAAGTGTCGCTATTTGGTTGCCCAGAGTCTCAATTTTACTATTGGTCCGTGTGACCTCGCTGTGACAGAGGTGTTAAAGAATCATAATTTACGCAAATTAATCACCTGTAAGTTATGAGGTATGCCATATTAGATTCCAGTTGCCTAGGTATCCCGATGTGCCTCTGTAGATATGTGAGGAATTGTCTGATGAGGTGTAGTACATGCCTCTCTCCAAACCACCACACCACCTGGCCACTCTCTAATACTATTACTTCTTGGTGTAGCACTTTCAAATATGTCAACAATTATAATAATTATATATACCCTTGGACTTGGTTGTTTATAATCTCATAGACTCAAGGTAACTCGCTAACATCATAGCTATAATGTAATAGTAAGCTTCTGGCCTTCCTACATAAACTGATAGATGCTCAATTTCGGTCTACCTACATCACTGGATAAAATGGTCGATATGAGGCTGACATTATACTATTGAAGTGACCTCAGAAAGACATGTCATGTTATGTGAATGTGTCTTTTTGAGCTATTTTCATGTCTTTTGAGCAATCGCTTCTTCCGTAATGTATTCTTATGGTAGTTCAAAGACAAGAAAAAAATTCCTATATGGTAGTTACTTTGCTTGCTACCTCTCTCTCCTACTATATATGATGACAGGTACTGGAATAGACTGGAGATGTTCTGTAGAGACTTGGCAGAGAAATACCCCGCCGTCTACGTTACCAGTGGACCACTCTACCTCCCTTCCCCATCTCTGGATGATGGCGGAAAGAAGTTCGTCAAATATCAGGTTAGTGCACATTTTTAGGGTGTTAATAATTGCAGTTTATGAGGAGCCTTTAAGTGTTGTCCTGGATTATTTTCACCCTTCACTTATGATTCATGACACCGTTATATCTCAATTTAATTGTAGTGAACCCTTCTTCGAATGTGGTGGTGTCTTAATATTAAACCCCCATGAATGGTTGGGCAATTTACATCTCATGTGTCTCAGCTTACTTGGCTAGGCACACACATAGATTTACCAGCAAAACCGCACCATTAGCGGTGTTGTGTTTCGGGACACTTTGTGTAAGCGTGACACGTCTCAACAAAGGAGCTCCACCCATACCACCCAAATGAGCGACGTCTCTTAATGAATGCCGCTTTCGCTAACCACAAGGAGTCCCTTGTTGGAAGGTTTTCCCTGTTACTGTGCCCGCCTGCAGGTGATAGGAGCTGGCAAGGTGGCGGTCCCAACTCATCTCTACAAGGTTATTCTGGCAGAGACGGACGACAGCAGTGACCCCGCCTCCCAGCCTCCCCCCAGTCTGGGGGTGTTTGTCGTTCCGAACAAGCCCCTGGGTGACGAGGAGCTGACGTCATTCCAGACCACCCTCACCGAACTGGAGACCCTCTGTGGGATCTCGTTCCATTCCAAGCTGGACAGATCAAATGTATGGGAGAATTAACAATTCAAACCTGAAGTAATAGCATACAGTCTATACTTGGTAAGGTCATTTCGTATGATGCCTGATAAAAAAGATTTAGGCATGTGTCATGTGCGCATGGATGCACTTACACCTCGTGTGCCCCCCCCCAATTCACACAATAGGATCTTTGTACATGAGTGAGTGAGTGAGTGAGTGAGTACAGTACTTGTGCCTGTCCACCAGGTCAGTGATCTTTGTAAAACGGACAAGTGTAAACTGATGACGACACTGGAGCTGAAGCAGTTTGTCTACTCATTACGGTCAGTTAGCAATGCAAGCAAACCCTCGGTGCTAATAATTTATAATAATTAAAGCGGTGTATATATTAGCTGAAGTGCCACTCAAGACTCAGAAATGCTGTTATCCAAAGGAAAACACGTTGCATATAGCGGAAAATGTTTAAGAGCAAAATTTAGTTATGTGAATTTCCCCGGTGATAGGTTAGGGCGAGCCAAGAGTGAAGAGCAGATAGGGGAAATATTGGACGAGGCAAAGAAGGAGGGTTTGGAGAGAGATTCTGTCATCGCACAGAGCGCTGCACAGCAAGGAAACAAACTTAACACCAGTGCTACCAACGGTTCCTAGGAAGATTTTACTGCAGTCGTCATCACATGCGTAAAACCTTTCTCAATTGAATATTTGTTATCATCGCCGCATTATATTCATTCTGCTTATGAGCATTTCGGAATTCTCTCAGATATAATTACAGGTTTGCTGAAAATGATTTGTTGGGTGATATGATAACATTATGCAGGAACAAAGAAAAAATTTATGGCCATTTTTGGGCATATAGAGAATTCAGAAAAAATATGGAGATGCAAATGAGTCCTGCTAAAATAAAAAAGAATAAAGAAATGCGGTTTATGATTCACTGGTGTGCATATTATAGACAGGCTGAAGAAAACAAAAGGGTGATCGATCATAGCAGAGACAAACTCAACACATATATACAGTGAACGCGAACACACACACACACACACACACACACACCACATTCACACCACAATCTACACAGTGTTATTGCTGTTGAAGACTACACTGTGACATTCCGTTCTGTTGCGTGTCGTCGAGACACTTGTACTTCATGCCCGAGAAGATGACCATGGGCTGAGAGAAAACGTAGAGACCGAGCTTTCCGCCGTGAATGGGGCCCGACGTTGACGGATTGCACTGACACCCGCTGTCTACGAGTGTCCGACTTCCACTGTGGATCCTTATTCTGTGGTAGGGAGGGGAGAGAGGAGGGGATAGGAGATGGACTTTGGAGTGTCTGCTGGCTTGCGTATTTTACGCGGTTGGGGTTAAAATCTGAGCAGTGAGCACTACATAACAGTACATAGTTGATGGGTATGGTATAGCATCATTATTGATGTATGGTACTATAATGGGGAGCACCACGCAGGGGTAAAGATGCACTGTGTACACAAAACACTACCGCTGAATTTAACGTTCGGGAAAAAGAAAAGAAACTTTGGAAAACATGAGAAACATGTTTTGTTAGGGAATGGTCCATTCCCTAACATTATGGGTCATTACGAGCACCTGGTGTCACATTCCAATTAAGGGTTTATCTGTACACCTCACACCCAAACATGCTCCGGGCTCCCCACCCATGTATTTCCCTCCGCATGCAGTCAGTATATATAGTATACCTTGAACACTTGCTGACTGCAGAATACTGAAGGTTCCAGCGATACGAGGTCCTGTGCTCCCAGCCCGTCTGTTTAGGGTCCTTCCACAATGTCTTTGCCTGAATTGGAGGGACGGGGAGGGAGAGAGGGAGAGAGAGGGAGGGAGAGAGGGAGAGAGGGAGAGAGAGAGAGAGAGAGTCTGAGCTCAATGCAGGTTTACTTTGGACTACATTAACGTTCAACAGATACCATCGTGATGTTACGAAGCCCTGTACCAGGAGAAAGTACGCATAAGATCATACACCCTGCCGACATGTGTTACGTAATAGAGCTAACAAAAAGCTTTTCTTAGAAGACGCGGCATGCCAAGTCAAAATTCCGCCTAATGTTTCCGATTATTAACTGGCATTCTTTCAGCCTTTGAGAAACACCTCTGAACCCAGTGTTGCTTTGTCCTCATCAAAAAACCATTTTCTCTGTGCATACTCAAGGTTATCATGCACACGACACACACACACACACACCTGGTTCTGCGTGACATTGTTGGAGTTCCAGAGCGCCATCTTGAAATCCCTGCCGGACGGGCCACTGTTGGAATCAAAGACTCTAATCTGCATGCCTCCCTGCGTCTCGTACTCCGGTCTGTTCGGCGTCCAATAGGGTGCATCGTTGCTCTTCTTCCACCCGGCCACCATGAATTTCCTGTTGCTGTAGTAGTTGTAGACGAGTCCAAAGTAGTCGTTGTCGACCGTGGCGTCCACGAAGAAGGTGCCCGTGAACTCGAAGCTGGTGAAGCTGTCTCGACTGAGGAGGAAACCGGGGCCAGAGTTGAGTCTCTGGACCAGCTCCGTCTCCTGTGGATTGTAAAGTAGATTATATGGAAGGAACTGTTAGGTTTGCATTCTTGTGTATGTACTGTATATAGCTGAGATAAGGTGCTAACAAAAGTACTATAATAAACTACATTTTGTTTCGCTATAATAGATGTGTGTGTTTGTGTAGCATGCAGAGACCTGGCGATGCTCATTTATGATGCCTTTTTACCGAGCACGAAACTACAACAGTGACTTACGTCAATGTAGTCCCACAGAGGTGTCTGCTCCCGCTTGTCGAGCTTTATCGGAATGCCTGCAAAGAACGAGGTCTTGCTGATCTTGCCGTTACGTGGACACACGTCTGCAGAGTCTCCAACACCATCTCCATCGTAATCCTCATCACAGGTGTCCCCCTTTCCGTCAGCTGCAGATAAAATGATTGTCTGTGTTAGTTTTGGGTGAACTGTGCACTCAGTTCGGGATTTTTTCGTCGACCTCTGTACATAATATAGGTGGACACATGATTGTATAGGAAAGAGATCGAACTAACAATAGTATATACAAGATAGCCTTTTTGCATCGTGCATTATTCCCAGAATATAATGTTTGCCTGGAAGAAATACGTGGATGTTCCATGTAGGCCTGAAATTCATAGGGTGCTTATGTAAACATAGGTACACGAGCCTTTTGGGAATTAGAGGAATTAAATTCACCACCATATGAGGAACTTGGTTTTGCATTCCTATCGGGATTGTTCCAGGCGACAGACACATGTCATGGTGCCTAGCATTCCGGTTAATGGTGCAGTTATCGGTAAAGAAATCAGATACTTGTTAGATTTATGTAAACTATAAAACTGTGGTTAGATTCTTCACATGCAAATGTTTTACGAGTCTGCAAGTGCCACACACAAAGTCCTCCCCCTCACTCCTCTATCTCACTCTCTCTCTCTGCCTATCGTCCTATCCCTCTTCTCCTCCCCCCTCCTTCTCCATTCCCCCATCTTTCACTCACCATTGCTGTCCATTTGGTCCGGATTTGCCACCAGAGGACAATTATCCACAGTGTCCAGAACGCCGTCATTATCGTCGTCCGTATCACAAGCGTCGCCGTACGAATCGTTATCATGATTGAGTTGATCTGAGTTGATGTCTGACTGGCAGTTGTCTGCACTGTCCTTGATCCCATCCCTGTCCCGATCTCTACCTCTGTCACACGGATTACCAACTCCGTCTGCATCATTGTCATTCTGCACAAGGTGATATACAAATTGCAGCATAAGCCAAGGACAAGAAGAATTACACAACTACCGCAGTTATATATGCAGACAGTAACCATATCTTACCACAAATCATGTGAATATAACTTCACTTACTAAGTTTGCTTGGCACCCACATTGTGGCAATTTTGGTTGAACTTAGTTGCGGTTTATTCGGAGAAAAAACTTTTTAAGACCAGCTTTTATCATAGGAGTGCGTCTTGTAGTAGTCAACTGACCTGATTAGGGTTTCTCGTCCGCTTGCAGTTGTCGCAAGTGTCCCCGATCAGGTCTCGGTCCGAGTCGCGCTGCGTGGGGTTGTAGATGTGGGGACAGTTGTCTTGGCTGTTGATGACCGTGTCTCCGTCGATGTCCGGGTCACACGAGTCCCCGTTTCCGTCTCCGTCCAAATCTCCCTGTGTTGGCAACAACAACCGTGGCTCTGTCAGTAAGTGTGCCGGGGGGACACTACTCTAACTATTGGTAAGTCCACCAAGGCGTTCCAAAATTTTTCCATTTGCTTTTTCGTTTGCTATCCGGCCCCGTCACAATGGACAACGTTGCATGCGCGAACGTCGTCACACGGGCTATCATGTGCAACTGGAACGTATTTTGAGAGTTGTTATGAATGATTCAACACTAGCACCACATCCGTTGCAAGTGCATACAGTGAAGAACGCGCCTGTTGGCTCCATAGGCCTCGAACTACTAGTGTAGGGAAGAGCTTGGGGACAAGGCAGGCTAGCTTCACAGTCTTGAACTAAGGAGTATAGTGTAGATACTCCTGGGGGGCCAGAAAGGTTAGCTCTTTAGTCTTAGTGCACAGAGAGGTGCCTGGGGACAAAACCGGCTCCTTCACTCTTAAACTCGGGATACAGAAGAACCACCAAAGGTCATGGTAGAGCCACGTCTCTACGTACGTACCTGGTTGGGGTTGGAGGAGAAGAGACACGTGTCACAGAGATCTCCTACTCCATCTCTGTCCACGTCGTTCTGGTTCAGGTTATTAACAAATGCACAATTGTCCTGAGACAGATAGGGGAGGAGGGAGAGAGGGGAGAAGTGGGATAATTATGCCGACAAAAAGAGTTTTATTGACTAAAGATATAATTATACTTGCTTGTGTATGCAAAACAGACTCGGTTTGCTCTGTAGGTTGTGTAATACTCACAAATTCATCTTCGATTCCATCGTTGTCATTATCACTGTCACAGGCGTCTCCAATGCCATCGCCGTCCACATCCCTCTGACCACCGTTAGGGACCCCAGGGCAGTTGTCCTGAAGAATCAAACATCAGTGAGTAGAGGTTGGAGAAACGAAATTCACTTCATTTTATATATAATCAACTATGATTTATAAGTTTAGATTACGAGTCTGTAAAGATGGGTACTGATTACAGATTTATCTGCACGGTCAAGATTTATGCAACCGTATGCACAGACAGAGCTCCCATCCTCGTGATGGTTGCATAGTTATGCATGCAAAAATGGTGAGAACACGCGAATTGTTGGACTTGGTACAGAGGTAAGCCATGGTTACATGTCTTCTGCTGCCAGACTGACACACTAATGGGACCATATGTATACCTACCAATGCAATAGCAATTAGACCCCAAGGAAAGGCATCATGTCAATATACTAAGGGTAATGAAGGATGATACCTGGCTTTGAGCACAAACTAGTTGAGGCTTTGAAGGTACCGTAACAATACACAATTTCCTGTACCAGCGAAAAATTGGCAGAGATGTGTGAAATTGCGAAGTTGGTGTGAACTATTGCATTCCTTACACCTGGACAGCTGCATTAATTTTACACACATCTACACTTTCCTTCAGTCACATGAGGATCATGTGACAGGAAGTGACGGTCATGTGACTCACCAGTGGACAGGGAAGGTTGTCGCAGCCGATGGTGAGGAGCGTATTAGGAATGCCATCGAGATCGTCATCAGCAGCACATTGTCTACCGTTACCAAACATCCCAATGGGACATTCGCAGTAGAATTCTCCCGGTGTCGGGTTGAAGCAGTATTCGACTCGCTCGCAGTCGTGGACTCCCGCGGCACATGGGTCGGACAGGACGCAGTGGAGGGGTCCTTGTTCCACGTAGCCCTCTGAGCAGGGACCGCACTCGAAACTGCCCTGTTGGAGTGCGAAGACAGAGGGAGGGAGTTAGATGGCGTTGACACTCGATCAACGTGTACAGACTAAGTAACTACATTCTTGGATTAAAAGAATCCGTTTGAACCACCGAGTGCATCATCTACCACTCTTTCATCGAAATTCCTCTTCAGTGGCTACATACATTAGCTCCCCATTCCCTCCCTCCCTCTCCTCCCCCCTCCACACTCTTCTCGTAATTCACAGAAATTAAACATTTTGGCAGATTTTTGTTGAGGAATTCATCCGTTGCATACCTCAGTGTTGATGCAGTCTCTTTGTTCGTCACAGCCTCCATTTGCCACCAGTTCACATTCGTTCACGTCCAAACACACCTGCATTGAAAAAGTACGCAGTGTTGAAAGCACTCTTATTGCGTACATGTAAGGCGAAACATTCCCGGATAATTCAATTGCATTGTATTACATTCTTCTAATTATGGCAAGGTAGGGAAGCACTGCAAGGAATACACACACACAATCAATTAGCCTTGACCAGCAAAAATATGGCAAAACAGACAAAAATTTGAGCCACTCAAACAAACTGTCGTAGCATATATATACAGCAGGGAGAAGCTATATATATACCTGTTGTAGAGTGTTGGCATCTTGCAGGTCGTATCCTCTGACGGTATCTCCGGTGAAGCCAGGGGGACATTCGAGACATGTGTAGCCATCATCGTGATCAGTGCACTCGGCGCCGGGGAAGCATGGGATCAGCTATGTCACACTGTGGGGGGAGTGGAGGGAGGGAGGGAGGGAGGGAGGGAGGGAGAGCGATACAGTGTGGTTCTACTGTTTGGTTTACACTATGTAATCGCTTACCCTAGCTTATTAAATATTTACCTAACACTCTTGTGTGTTATCATCACATTGCAAGGCATGAAGACAGAGTGTGCGATGTACAAAGGCAAGATTATCTGATGTGAAATTGAAATTCCGTGTTATTAGACATGCGACTGTTTGGTCTGAGCTGGCAGTAGTGGAGTGCAGACGACAGCCAGCGAACATGTGTTCCTGCTGTCACAGCCACAGGTCACCTGACTAACTGCAAGGCTTCAGTTTGTGATGTTTAGACTTTTTCTCCCTGGCACACGTAGCTAACACGAAGACAGCGCCCATTTATATCCATGCACAAACAACAACAGCTTTGACTTCTTTGAGGCAAACATGCCCCAGTTCTCAAGGCTGTCTAGGTGTAGTTGCCTGGTTTGTGTACTAAATCGGAAGGAAACCCGAGATTCTTTCTTTTTTGTTACTCTTATAGAGCTAGCTAGTATGCTATGCAAAGTTATAGCTGCTGCAGCAAACACACAAAACAAAAGGAAACTTGGGGAAAGCGCTAGAAACTCAAAGAGCTATGTACGTACTTACCTCATTGACAGCAGTGCAGTGAGTGCCGTTTCCCTCCATTCCTCGGGGACAGTCTCCACACTGGAACTCTGTGTCTGTCACTTTAGTACACACCACAGCCTTGCTGAAACACGGGTACACCTCGGGGTCCAGGCAAGGGTCTGAGCAACAGAAGAAACGGAGAATTAAATCTGCTAGAAATGTGTTAGAATGTGTGTACCTGGACAGCGTTGGGTGTTGCAGAGTTGGGATTCCTCTGACGGTCCCTCGCACTCTCTCCCCCCGTGCTCGGCGGGTTCAAAAAGTCCTCGTTCTATACTGCGTCCCGTTGGCACAGCTGAGGGAGCACTCGGTCCAGGGTGACCACTGGTCCCAGACGCAGTCCACGGGGCACGGCGGGAGTCCCGGGCACTGCCGAGTGTCGGTGGGCTCTCCAGGGCAGTCGTCTCCACCGTACTGTGGAGGAGGGTTGTTGCACTCCCTGGACCTGTCTTGGGATCCCCTCGCCGCAGGTAGTGGTGCAGTCAGACCACTGTGACCACACATTCCAACCACCGTGAACTGCAGCAATATGGAGTTGAACAGTCTATGATGACCGTGCCAGGTGTAATATGCACACAAGCTTTTGGCATTTTCCCCAATACAGAGTGGGTCAAGGATAGCCTTGGTAGTGTTTCACAGGGCACAATAGGTTGCTACTGTGTGCAATCTGCGATACGCTTGGGGGCAGTTTGTGTTTGCACACAATGTGACCTTCTCCCTTATTTCTATTTCACTCACTCGGGCAGTGGTGTTCGTTGCAAGCCTGCACTTCCGAAGTGTCTCCCTCGCACGGCTTTCCTCCGTACATTTCAGCCAGAAACTCGCGAGATCGGCTCTGAATCCCTCCGCCACACACATGCGAGCAGTCACTCCATTCGGTCCACGGCAGCCACTCACAGTCGACTGGACAGTGCTCCAGGAAGCAGGCCTTGCTCTCCGTGTGCGGGCCCTCGCAGTCACTCCCGTTGTACTGAGGGACCGGGTTAGTGCACGAGCGCGTCCTCGTCTGCGTTCCGTTGTCACATGTGGTGCTGCATATGTTGAACTCTGTCCATTCTGTCCAGCCACCATCAACTGCACAGTAGAATTAGGGGAATAATTGTGTGGGTCAAACAACCAAGCCAGTGACCAAACTACCTACTGCCTCCCTTCTCCCCCTGTCTCCACTTCCTCTCTCTTCTCCCTCACTCTCTCTTAAGCTCTCTCTGAATTGTATTGTTACCACTTACTTGGGCAATGATGAGTGTTGCAGTCTCTTATTTCGACGGCCAATCCGGTGCAGTCGAGCACCCTAGCTCCCTGGGTCTTGCACTCCCGTGTCCTGCTCTGCCGTCCTCCGCCGCATGAGACTCCACACTCTGTCCAGCTCGTCCATGCGCTCCAGGTGTTTGGTGGGTTGGCAATTGGTTTGTCTGTATCATTGGCCTCTATCACCTCCACTGTTTCTGGTTGTAGTCCAAAAGATGCAACTGTGCTGTACACTGAGAGAAAATGGAAACATATCACTTAAACACTGCATCACTGCACACAACTAGCTAAATTAGCTAGTTATAGCTTTCTACTCACTGCAGCCTTTGCAGCATGTCCCAGGGACCCAGTAGGGAGGTTTTCCGTCTGCGCAAACCTCCACAGTCGCACAAGTCTCGACTTCAACCCGCATCTGACCGTCGTTCTGCAGCAACGACATGCATTATATTAACTGCCCTGCGGGTAAAACTTTTTGGGAACTTACCCACAGACGTACGCGGCGCAAGGATCAATGGCCAACGGCGTGATTCTGTCACCGACTCGGAGCACAACACTCTCGACGCCAGGCATTTCCAAATTGCAGTAAACATCGCAGTTCTGCGAGGGTAACAGAAAGACAGTTGGAGCTTGCAGCCCAAGATACGCATGCATGCGTCTGGCCTAGCTTACCGAGTCTCCTATGGATATCGATGGAGCAGCTGTAGGTCAAGGGGAAAAAAGAAAAGCAGTTAGCAAAACAGTTTTTTTTACAATTTTTTTAATTGACGAATGAAGATTTTATTAGCTATACCTTGCACATAGGAAAGTGCAACTGCGGCTAAAACAAGCAGTTTCTGCAACAACATGGTGATAGCGAGGGACCCAACGGTAGCAGCAACAAGTCCTCTCAGTAAACTCGCAAATGCAAACTGCAGACCAGAAAACGCTTTTATAGGCCCGGTTACTTACGCGCATGCGCAGTAAATATCGTCCAGAAACCCCCACATCCGCGTGTATAGGCAGCCAGATATTCATTCCAAAGTGATGCAATAAAAGGTCGGCTAAATTCCCTAGACCATGCAGCAGATACCACAGAAGAAGTTCCGTCAGCGGACAACACACAGTTGTTGAATAATGCACATTCGTAGCGTGAGAGCGGATGCAACCGTGGCTTCTTTTGGAATGCCCCAAAGATAGACCTCTCCTCTGCATGCTAGAGATGCCGATAAATTAAAAGTATCCTTCCAGGAGACAGCGTTAATTGGTCCTCGGTATCCCATGCTTGCAATCTGACCGAAACTAGTGCTTCACATAACCCAGGTATTACCATCTTTGCTACACCTCATAATTATACCGTCCCCCAACCTGTCCACCCAGTAACCTAATGTTGTACAGGGTGGTTAAGGTGTGTCGAAAATTAGGCATAAAATCTCAGAGATAGGCACTTTAACCAAAGCATACACGTCATTTTAAGGAACCACAGGCTAAAACAAGGTTGGCAGACAATCTGAGGCAGGCTCTCTATGGAGTGCTTATCATCTGGCGTCAGAGGGTAACTCCTACTCATTACTTGGCACAACAGGTCCTTAGTACGTCTCATAATAGCAGCGCTGTTTTCACACACTGCAGTACGCACCCATACCTTGGGAAACTTATACTGCTCCCCCATGTGTGCTAGGAAACTATTCCTTTACGGCCCATTAGAGTTTGTATGTAGTTCACCTCTTTCACATCGTTAGTTGGTGAAATACTTCATGTCGTTGTCCAAGGTCAACTTGCAAAATTACACAATCCTTATATATAGTGGCTAATGCTGTTGGATAACTTCAACGTATGCAAACGTCATACTCTACGGTGGGTGATGCAGGGAAGTCAGTTTCCAAGAAAACTACCGCAATTTTCATGAAAAATCAGTACATGTGCACACGGACGCTTCATCGTGCGGCTACAAGGTGCAACCCATCCGGTAAGTGCGCTACTGCTGTTCAAGCACACCTCTCGGTGCTCCGTATGGGGTTTGATTACAAGGAGTGTCCCTGTTTGTGTATTATAATTATGACGTGCATGACAGTGCAGCAGACACTTTATCTAAAGCTACTATATAGTGCTGGATGTAGGCACACAGCAATAAGTGCACACAACACCAATACATTGCCCTGTTACACAGTGCTGCATCTCAATCATTAACTTGTTGGCCTGCACCGACCTTCTCATGGGATACCATATCAAGTAACACAAGAAGAAAATCTACATTTCAAGAATGCGATAAAATATTTGGTGGGCTAGGCTGTTGGGCTTCTATTAACGTCTCACTCACCCTCATACATGGAAGACCATTCCTTTGTCTTTTGCATTGGGCGTAAAAATGGACTAAACAAAACAGAATCATGTGCATACATGTAATATAGTGACCTCATCTAGTGATCAACCTTATTTTAGTTGCTCTGGTGGGGGCATTTGAGCAGCTGCAAAAGCCACAAACTCTGTCTAGGAATCAGTTGGCGAGGAAAAACATGGAAGCCTTGTGAATGGAGAAGGTATGGGGAGGAGGATTGGCAGACACACGCCATGCTGGCGGCACGCCAAAAACCAACACAACACACGAGTGGGTGCTCCAAGCAGAACTAATGTGGATGCACGCGTCTCCTCATAGCAAGTACTGCGGCTAGTATAGCCTCTCGTACTCATCAAAGACATTCTAAAAGAAAGCTCAATGAGGACAAACCTTGAGCCACAGGAATGCAAACTTAATATGCCACCAGTGTTTCTTTGGTGGAATTTTTTCCAAGAAGACCATAGAAATTTACAGACAGCCGACACAGAATACTTCCTGCAATGCATTATACCAGGGCAACTCTAGATGCAAATATTTGATGTGTTCAGCTTTGTCTTGGGGAGAAAATGTTTTGGTAGTAGTGCAGCAGAACACCTGAGTTATTATCTTAGTACGGTTGATAGCAGATCAGGAGATGCCGACTAAAGTGGATCTCATAATACTACACACCCTGTAAGCTTACAGAGCATAGCATGATCATATTGATTGACAGTTGGATACAGAGAGAAAAAAGAGGAAACTATGTTCACCGAACTGAGGATCTTGCATAGTTTATTTGATATCCATGTCTGTACTGTAGCTACTACTACAGCGACTGTTAGTTGGCAGGGCTCAGCAGAGCAATGCACCGATATACCACATCACGAGGCTAGGAATGATGAGTGACTATTCCCGAAATGCAAGACATTCTTGATGCATGACATTGTTGCAGCAGGTGCAGTGGCAGTAGCACTGTAGGACGTGGTCATTAGGAGATAGAGTAATGAGAGGAATAGCCCTAAAATGAAGAGAGGAACTCAGTCAAGTAACTGGAAGGAATTCAATTGGAGAGTGCCATGGATAACCACCAGTAATTACTAGTGATTGGGGAAGTAAAATGGACACTCAGTATACAATTCTCCTATAATATTACTGGAACGAATGCAACGCATTTTTGGGGAGCGAATGTGAGTAGTTGAATGTTCTGCACGCATATTATGTAAAGCATTGTGGTAGGTGCAGTGCCTGTCACTGTTAATAGAATATTCCGCATTGAGACGACAAGGTATGTAGGTTCGCTTTGCTCAACAAATATGAAATCAGGATCTTAATAAAGATTGTATTCTGGCTTGGACTTAAATTTACAAAATCAGCCCCATTCTTTCAAACACACAAATTGGAAGGGGTAGGCGGCAATGAAGCTACCTGTTTCGAACACACTATATGCATATCGACACTCCCCGACTGAGCAATAACCATCAAAAGAAAAACCAGACAAGACTCCTTTAAAGTGCACAAACAATCTCACGTCCCTCTCTCGACAAAAGGAATCGAGCTCTAAAAATCGATTATTCTCTCCCTACAAGACGCAGCTACTCCCGACATGCCACCCTCCTTTGGTCTGAGAATATGGCACCACAACTATGCTGAAGTGATGCAATTCTTGTGGCCAGAGGAGGATAGTAGCTATGACAACTGGAGACAGTAGTTTGGAGAAGCAGTCCTTAAGCAGCATTCTTGAGGTCAAAAATGCAAGTCACATCCTCTTGCAGTGGCCTGACATGGCTTCTTGGCACCAGTTGTTTTTCGGAGACGCACATTCCTGATAGTAAATAATGAAATTCTTGAAGTACCTGTGTCAGGCAACTCCTGGAAACTGCCTGGCAACCAGTAACAAGATAAACCACAGGGACTGTATTACTATTATGCTGGATACTGCAGCTATTGGCACCAGTCTCCATTATGCTCAATAGCTTGCTTCATCTATGCATGCACGTGCACATTGGCAAATGTGCAGGAAAATGCCAGGCATTCAAACAGCAATAAACAACCCTTTGAACATCACAGATTATAAGTGGGAGAGCATGTTATTATAGACATAGTGCAATGATCTCAGCTGGTAATATAAAATTAGCAACAATGTGTGAAGAGGGTTATTTTTGGCAGAGGCCAAGCTACGAGAGCTATCGCACCCAGTGGCCAACTAACAGTAGGAATGAAAGAGAGACCAACTTTTGTGTCTGTGTCTCCGTCTCACCTGTGTACTGCAGTTTCTTCAGGATTCTGAGGTGTTTCGGGGGGTGTGACAGGGAGAAATAGTCTCCCATAGTTCCAGGAGAGGCAACTGCCAAAAGAAGACCCTCAGGGACAGAGAGAAGACACCCCTTCCCCACTTCCTGAAACCCGAAAAACAGCTAACACAATAGGTGAGCTCTGGAGTTTCAGAGACAAAAAAGGTCTGGGCGACTCTTTACACCAGCGTAACATCAGGTGACATTTTACGCTGGTGTAAAGAGTCGCCAGACCTTTTTTCTTCCCCTAGAAGATGGGGTCTGGGTACGAGACAAAACAAAACAAAACCCCAAGCCCTTGAAGAACGGCAGCAGTCAACAGTACTACACAAGGTATGGGGTGGTGGCCCCTTGTGTACATCCTCTGTCCATGCAGATCGACCTATTGTGTTAGCTGTTTTTCTGGGTTTCAGGAAGTGGGGCAGACGGAAACACCTGTCAGGAGATGACGGCACGCAAGGCAGTATGCAGTATAAGTAATTTTAATACACACACATAAACACACACTTGTACGGCAGTCAAAATTTTGTGAATCCCTGCAAAATTTGTACCCGTTTTCCGCTGCTGCGTTGCGCGAGTTCTCGTCGAGCCAGCTCACTTGACAGAAATGTGCGACTTCTGCCTTTGCTTCCTCTTTCTCTTGAACTCGTTGGACAGTTCAATGGGCAAGAATTCCAATACAAGGAATACAGTTGAACCTTTCTAATACGGACACCAATGAGAGAGAGAAAGTGTGTATATTAAAGGGGTATTCTTGTTAAGGGGTTAAAGTTGCATGAAAGAACTCTTCTTGTGAAAGAAGTGGTGTCCTATGGAGGTGTCCTATATTTCAGGGGTGTCCTTAAATAGAGTGCCACGTATCTACATGTGTCAGGGTTATGTCATCGTAGTACACAAATTTTTAGGAAGTTTATGATTGGTTATTTCAACGTTTCAGTTATGAAAACTGTTGCATTGATCAACTAAAGTTCCTCGGATACCGCTACAGCCTCCCCACTGTAAAGATTGCAGAACAAATGTGATGCGCACCAACAGTCTTGAGCCAAGCAGACACAAGAATGTCACACATACGCAGACACACACACGGACATTCCACTTACCCTCCTACTAACTATTACTGAGAACTCTCCATCCACTTCTACATTACCCAGAACTTCACACGTCCATTGACTTCACAACAGAACGATTCCTCCTCACCGAACGACGTCGTTGCTGGAATGTGCTAATGGGGCTCCATTAGGGCTCCCTAGGACAGACTTGCACCACTGTGAGGTGTATAATGCTTAATAATCTGCTAACCGACTATTACATGGTCACAAAGGACGGTAGAATGCTGTTATTTGGATTCTAGTGAAGACAGATCATTAGCTGTCTGGCCCAAAAGGCAAAACATTATGTAAGATTGCTTTCACAGTTATGCCCAAATATTTAATAATAATAGGCATGGGAGAAATTTACACACCAGATGGTAATAAATCAAAGTGAAAAAATGTAGTTTGATAAATAATTCCGCCGTTTCAGAGTCAATCGTAAAATTTGTTTTACACAAACTTGTAGGCAAAACAACTTTTGTGGAGCAATTTGCTAGGACATTTTCCGCTGTACTGCGAAAGTTCATTCCCTGGAATGTTTCCCACTGCAAGTCAACGTACTGAAGTATTGCAGGGGCTGGTAGAATTAGTCTACAGGAGCGGTCAAAACACGTCATGCATTCTGGCATGTCAGAATCACTCTAGCCCTGTACTTACACGGAACTTGGTCAGACAACGGAACAGGCTGCAAGGCAGGAAATACTCTATCAGTATAATCGGCTCCTAATGCTTTCTGTCAGTGAACACATGTAGCCAGGGCAGTGGGTTGCTGTAGAGAATGGGATGGCCCAGTTCATCGTATTTTTAAAGCAAGTATAATGTTGTCCATGAGAGTCTGAGTAGGCATCATAGGGGAAAAGTTCACCGCTGCGTCCAATAAATCAGTCTATACGTCCGTCCCCACTAACATTGTTAGTCATTATGAGGAGCAGTAATCTCATAATGGTGGCATATTAAGTACCCAATTCTCACGTTCCAAACGACCAATTAATAACCATAATTCATTTTTCACAAGCGACAGACCGTCAGCAATTCATACGCACGCCCTTAGAAGGCACACGGGCATTTGCAAATGCAATAGACTTTTGGCAAACGGCAAACCACCCCAATGTTTACGTATACGTTTTTACTCATAACCCTGTTTTTCAGCAAACTTTTCTGCACGCTTAGTTATTGATGAGACTAGGATATAGCCAATAGAGATGTTGGTCACTCGACATTAGAAGTAAATAAATCTCCCACACCCTCGGAAAAAGCTGGCCCAGGCACTGAGTGGATAATGAGCTGGTAATGTAACTACTGCCACGCCAGGACCACCTCGTGGTGGGGTAGTTTATGGCACTTCCGGCCTGACCCGTGCACATACATACGCACGCGCACACACACGCACACACACATGCACGCACACATCATTCAAACAAACAGAAAAATCTACTGTATTACTTGAAAGTTTGGTGACCATGATATTTTACATCTTTATTGGACGTGCACAATAATGTTACATGCGACGTAGTGCTGTAAAAATGTATGCCCTCTACAACAATTCTTAAAGGTCTGTGTATAATCAATTGTCGAGCCAACCGACATAACCTTATACAAAGCCCAATATTTTCCTCTTCTCAATCTGCACCATTTCTCAAATGCCAAACTCACCACTTGCATATTTCCACCACTTGTTGTCCAAAACCACTAACAACAGTATACACTTACGCAAACAGCTCTCTACACCCATTCATACAGTGGATGAATGCATACCTTGGGCAAAATATGGAGATGACTCCCTGGTTTTTGTCAAACATTGGTGAGTCATAATACCATACATCATTGCCTTACGAGTACTGTGGCCAAAGCCTGTCCCCCCTCCCCACCCCGCCTGTGTGTGTGTGTGTGTGACGTCAACGTCAAGTCCAGCACTAACAGGGTTACTGCCTTGTGACATTGGGGTTATTGAAGAAAGGGGTCTGCTGTATAAACAGATGGCCACCTCGTGTAAGGGTTCCAAGCATGCCATATACAAGTCGTATGTATTATAAACATGGGATGATTATGGCAGTTATCAGGCCTGATTGGTCCACAGATAAACCTGTGTAATATTAAGCATGCCAATAGGTCTAACGTACAACAGTATCACAATTATCGCCCCCTCAATACAACCTGCGTGCAGATCTAGTACAAGTGTGCAGATCTAGTACCACTGTATGGCGTATGGCGCATTGCCCACGACCGAAGAATGACTTCACGTACACTGCACAGGTAATGTGATTTCTGAGTGGATATTTGCATACAGGCACTTGACTGACTGGGAGGGCTATTGCAGATACGCAGATAGCAAGAGTTGAACATTGCTCCAAATGAAATGTGTATAAACCTCTCCGCATTGCAAAACAAATACCAAATGGGATATATAGTCTTACCATAATTATTGTTTAAGGCATAAAGCTTTTGACACTCTCAACCAACAGAACAGTAAAAACAGTTAAACATCTCGTTGAGTTATGATAATGAGACCACAACACACATTGTATCATACATATACTGTGTCTGAGAGAAAGTGTGGGGTTTGCTATGGTCTACGAGGGTCCAGCGCCAGAGGGTGTGGCCTTCTTCCCCTTCTTCTTGTCCCCCTCCTCTCTCTGCTTTTCAATCCTCTTGATGTACGTTTCAATTTCGTCTGGTTCCAGAAACTGCGGCAGCACGGGTACATTACATACGTGGGATAATAGACACAAAAGCAGCTGCACAAATTCCGCCAAAACACTAGTGCGTGATTTCTAGGGACAAGACCAGGAACACATTATTACAAAGCGCAGTATAAAGACAGGCACACAAAGATTCTGAAGAATAGTTTTGATAACCGGGAGATTGTGGCCAACCATGCTGACAGTGTTCTTGAGAAACAATGTGGCAGAAGTTGTACTTACCGTATGTAGAGCGGATTTCAGACGAATTCAGATAATTATGCATTGCCCCCTCTCATTTCACGTCATAGTTGGTCTAGAGGGATTACCACCCACACACAGCAATGTTGAACTACTACTGTCAACACCATAGTACACTGGGATTCCAATCACCACCTGGTGCTTGATAGCCACTATAAGATACTGGTACATACACACACCCAAACTTAGGTACATGTATATGTGGCCCAGGCAAGTTAACTCTTACACGCAAGTGTGCATAAGCCAACAGCATGCTAGTGCTAAATCTCTTATTCCATTCCACTCCCACATGTTTTTCCCATTCAATGGACTCTATACATATCTGAACTGGAAGTGCATTGAACCCCTCCATTCCCATTGTATTAAAATAACAAACTTCCTACTGTAGTTAATGGTCCTTATGGGATTTCACACTAATCATCGAACCCCTTCATTCCCATTGTATTAAAATAACAAACTTCCTACTGTAGTTAATGGTCCTTATGGGATTTCATCGAACCCCTTCATTCCCATTGTATTAAAATAACAACTTCCTACTGTAGTTAATGGTCCTTATGGGATTTCATCGAACCCCTCCATTCCCATTGTATTAAAATAACAAACTTCCTACTGTAGTTGATGGTCCTTATGGGATTTCATCGAACCCCTCCATTCCCATTGTATTAAAATAACAAACTTCCTACTGTAGTTGATGGTCCTTATGGGATTTCATCGAACCCCTTCATTCCCATTGTATTAAAATAACAACTTCCTACTGTAGTTGATGGTCCTTATGGGATTTCACACGGTATCATCTCTTTCTCATCTCCTTGGCTCAGCATATAAAACAGTATTTCTGTGGTTCGTTTCATGTTCGTAGAAGGAAGGGTAGCAAGAGGTTACATAACTCCAACTTTCTCTTGGAAAGCTGGTCATTCTTTCATTCATAACCATACAGTGCCAAAAACAGTAAGCTTGATAACAGCGTATAACGTTTCACTGGTCATCATTCTCTCTCTCATTCTCTGGGAGCCAACTCCTTCCATTGACTCATACACACCTTCAGACGGAGGGACAGCCTCAATTCAATCCAAATCCCTTAGCGAGTAAAATCGTGGAGCACTTCCAAGTTTTACAATGCAGTTTGTCTGTCTGCCAGGGACCCATGCCACCGGTAAAAGGAAATGGTGGTGAAAGAAGAGCCTTCTTGTCTGAGAGTTGTTACTCTGTGCATTGTGCCAGGGTTTCTATAGGGGAGTACCTACCTCGGATATCTCCCTTACACTAAAATGGTGGTTGCCTTAAATATGTAGCAGTTTCCTGCCCGTCCATGCCTGCATGACGTGTGCAATGCACAAAAACCATCACGCAATAGTTGATTATTGATAGCACGAGCGGGAATTGTGAGGGGGGATCGCTAAAATGATTCCCCACTTCCTACAAAAATCCTCAACCACGGGTAAATTAATAGACTCGTGCTTCTTTGATTCTTGGAATTAACCCTTTGTCCCACCTAATATTGCCTCACCGTGAGTTTTTCCCCCCGCTCCATGACGGCCAGTTCCATGCTCTTGCTGCCCGACTGAACCACCTCAAGCAGAGCCTTGATGGCCAGAACTACTGTGCTGTCTCGTGTCTGCACGGCCTCAGGAGAGTAGTTCTTCTCCAGGTACTCTCGCACAGACTTTGCCCCCCGGCCCGTGGCATTCGCCTGTGAGAGAAGACCACGGTAATACAGCACACATGTCATCAACAAGTTTGATTGGGAGACCCGTTTAAAAATCGACGCAAGCCCTGGTGCCATGCGTCAGTGGGAGGTATAGGTTTCTAAGAATGTATCGTTTCTCTGTTTTGGATCGGCAACGGTATTGCAGAGATAAATCTTCGACTGCATGTGTGTCTGTACGTAAGCATCGGGGTCCAGGGTAATCATGCAATCTTCAAAGAGATTCGTGACTCGAAGGACCCCAGACTGATTTTCGCAATTTTGACAGCAGAGCGTCCTACCTATCAAACGGTATGCTCTCTCCAACTCTAAAATTTTGTGACCCCTGTGAGTAGAGTTGCACAAGGCATTCTGTTTCATTAACATCAGTCTAGCCGTCTAAACAGTCTACGTGCGGTGGCATATACTGAATACCCTGCTCACCGTGAGGTATGTACACACATGAACCGATGGCTCGCAGACCCAGCACCTGGCAAGGACCCACTCTCACTCGGGATTCCTAGCCATCTGGTAACCAATCACCGCCGCGAATTGTTTCGAGGCGGAATCCCCGCGCCATGGATACGCTAACTACACGCGTTCTCCCTCCCACTCGACGTAACATAGGGAGTCCAAGAGAGCGGGTTCATTATGGACACCAATTCAAGTGCCAGTATTCTTTTCGTCTGGGCTACATGAAGTGTATACTCCTACATGTTCGAACAGACGCTCTGCCAACTATGCTAAAGAGGAGGGGTATGCAAAACCCGACCTCATTCTTCTCAACCACTTCATACAGCCCCTGAGTGATTATCACGAACACTATTCTCCCAAGGAATAAGCTATAAGTACGGAAAATAAGGCGCTGAAGAATATATGGCAAGTATTATGACAAAAGGTAGACAAAATAATGAAAAAATACGCAATTATGTTGGAACATGGATGAAACTCCAGGGCCTAATATCAGTTGACTATTTACCTGTCATTCGCATTACTATTTTATGTACAAAGCTATGCATGAGCACGAAACACAGGCAGGTTAAAGGTACGTTAGTGAATATTTGTATGTACACCCCTCGTGGAAAATGGACAACACCTTGCTAGTTTCATCGCATGCTGGTGCATGTACATGCATCATTGATGGGCTGATCAATGCATGCAGAAACGTAGCACTGTCCAAGGTTTTCAACTTTACTGCACCTTCCATTCATGATAGGCTCCGGCAGGATCAGTTTGGTAGAGTTTTGGAGTCTTTTTCTCGTCGAAACCGACAATCAGAAGTGACACACCAAACGGACGAGCTCCGTTGCTCTGTGTGAAGCTCTGTGAGGGGGCGGAAGAGAGGAAGCGAGGAGAGGGAGAGAAGAGAAAAAATCGATGGGAAGAGTGGGAGAGGAAGAGAGGGAGGTGGGGGAGTAAGAGAGAAGACAAACAGAGAGGAAAGGAGAGCAAAAGGCAAGGAATAAGGAGTGAAAAAAGCAAAACTAGACAGAAATATTGAACGGCAGTGTGGATATGCTCATTAGAAGGACAGAGGCCAGTGCAAATGGATCCCTATCAGGTCTCTCTTTACATCTGCAGTCACGTCACACACAACAACCTAATTTGAAACACTCACGAAGCCAAACTCCCACACACAGCTTTTCGTAAGTTGGAGTTTATTTTACGCAGCCGTTACTTTGCCGCAGAACACAATCCTGTTTAACCGCAGGATTCCAGCCTAATGCCTGATCACAGACCCACACATGGATTTCAAAATGGCTGGCTGACGTACATTCGTGAACCTAGAACAGTGTGAGTTCACGTAGCAAATCTGGCAGCATACACTATGATCTCGCCCCTTGTAAATTATCAGAACGAGTAGGTACACGAGGCCAAAAGTTCCTGCGGCTTATCTCAACCAAATAGACACATGCATAGTAAACAGTATATATACAACTGTAGCTAAAGAGTGGGCGAGAGTTGGATGCACACTCATTCATTTGGGCAGACCGGTATTCCAGCCAGTAGTGATGCAACTCCAGAACACACACAATTCATCTCCTGTCCAGCCATGTTTACAGTGACTGGGCAAATGGAGAGTTTAGAGTTCGGGGAAACTTAATGACATCACAGCACAGAGTTTATCAACAGAAACGCAGCCGGTTCCAGTGGAAGGAAGTTGGCAAAGCTCTGTTTCTAAAATTAGCAACGGCAAATGTATGACTATTATGGCTATGGCCAACTATGACTAAATCATAGGGGCACTTGCACGACATCATCACCAGTCGACTCGCTAGCAACAAAACCCTGCAGCCAACACCCAAAACCCACAACTATGTCACAAAGGCGAGACAGCGAAGTCTAGCAAAAAGCAGCAAAGCATACTCCAACTGCCCCATGCATACTGGCCATTTAAACAGGTGTGCTCTTTGCTTTGTTCCTGCACACCTTAGCAATACATATGCATACACTGAATCGGGCTTACTCAAGATAACACAAAATTGAGTCCTATAAAAACGGGGAAGGCCTCGGTTCGGAAGGTTTTAAAATGGAGTAAAAATTGGAGTGGGGGGATGAAGCACTAGTTGTGTAAGGTATGCAGTGAGGAATGTTGGAGGTATCAAGGGCAGGGATTGAGTGGGCGAGTCTGCTGTGTGGGGGGCAGAGCGGGGGTGGAACAAACAAGTCATTTTCATACCTGCGGGAAACCCAAACCCTGGCGGGTATGAAGAGTACATTAATGACGCCAATGACCTGATACATTTTGAATGCTCTGCTTCACACACACAGCTTCCTAAAACTGCACACACGACTGCATGCATGCAGACTAGAAGGAATTCACACAATGAGAGAAACACTAAGAGAAACTCTAAAGTTGAGGGAGTATATATGCACAAACAAACTATATTATTTCCAGGGCTCTTGCAGCCACTCTCGTCTTACAGCATCACCGGTTAAAGTATTGCAGAATGCACGCGCATTCGTAGAGACATTTTCATCACAAAACCGCCCAACAGTAACACTCCTCTAAGAAAACCAGTGTTCATTAGCTAGTCTTCCCGGTGAGAGCCCATTCCCATAGCCAAAGTGTGGCATCGCTAAAACCACACTATTGAAGTGGCAACTCATATTACAGGCACGATGCATGCATGTAATTCGGGTAATTGGCCATTGTGTTTGAAGACCGTCTTTGAGTAGCCACCACTTGCCAGGTTAACACAGCTTCAAGGCGCCAATTTCTGTGAGTGGAGGGTAACCTCAACGTACGTACAGAGGTAGCAAATAGGTGCCCTAGTGAGGTTAGGGTGGCCTGTTTTAGCATACATTCTTGTGGGAGAAGCCTATCTGTTTGCGTCACTGCCTTTGAATTCTCATTAGGTGGAATAATTAGTACAGTCAAGTGGAACCCGACTCCAACCTGGACAGCAACGAGACAGATAAAAGTGTACATTACTTGCGAGGTGCCGTTTCATTTATGCCTATCCTATCCATATAGTCGCATTCTGTATCATTGAGTGGCTCCGTAATGCCACATGTACAAGCACACCCAATTAATTGTAGTCACGTTTCTGCGCCTGATAGCGATGGAATGTGCCTCGGAAAGGATTTCTTATATGTAGAAGTCTTGACCAGTCAGAGGAATAGTGAGTGAAGTAGCATTCCTCTGATTGACCAATCAGATTTCAGAACTCACTAGAGTCTGGCTCTAATGCAGGGTCAAGCAGATACCGTTACATGTGTGACTTCGATAAGTAAAACAATGCATACTTGGTCAATTCATCAGATGCAACTGGCGCAGGGTCAAGGCGATTCTGTTACAAGCATGCGAGTCTGAGGCAATTATAGAGTTTCCACTCTTAGACCGCTTCACATGCCAACAGTGACTGACACCATGATACGATATCAGGGAGCAGTAGTCGCTGGCTACGTATGTGTAGGCTGCGGACAATGGCAGATGTGCGGAGAGGAAATAACAGAAGTGACATTCGATAAGGCTGTCGGAGACTAGAGGTTTGCCATCTTCAGTCCATTAGAGGAGTGAAGACACCAGAATGACACGTATGAACCATAGAAAACAGCATTCTGGCCGTTCTCTAGCAGCTTTTCCCTCAGTGCTAGGAGACATTTTGAGCGCGTGCAAAAATGTGTGATAGTTGGTATTCCCCATGACCCAACAAAAATGGTGCAAAACTTACTTCACCATGTATCCAATGACACACCATGCAACCTTATTCGTGCGATTCTCACAAGCTTCATGCAACTTTGTCTACAGACAACAAACAAAACGTAAGTCGATTAAAAACACTTCTAACAATAAACCGCCACTGTCCCTTGTAATAAAGGCGCAATTGCATTTCTGTCTATGCCAGCAATCAACCTGTCGGGTAGCCAGAGAACGCCATGAGGGAAGAAAACGCACCATAGAGGTTATATACATAGAGACGATGATGCGCCATGGAGGATGACCAGTCAATACAGCCATTCACCAGTTGGCAACTCTCTCAACTATGAGAACCACACATTTGGTAAGTTCATGTTCATATGTACAGTTCACCCATCATGTAAATAGCAACTGAAAGTATGCGAGACTGTTTCCTAGGAACCACACAACAATTGTGATAAGAATTGGCCGAATGTAGACTGTTGTACCAAGTGCCCCTAGCAACGTACCTAGGTGTGCTACCCACAATTATGTCAGGAGTGGCAATTCTCGTTAAACCTCTTTGCATTCACCTACACCCAAAGACATACATAATTATACACACATGTACACCAGTATATATAGCCCCTGAATTGGACACCGTGATTATTTTGGTGCACCTAAATACGCCGCTAATAAAGGTAAAGAGATAAGAAATGGGTACAGCAAGACAGTGAGATGACCTTTCCATCCTCCAACAAGTGTCAAACTATTACCGATGGTTGGTTTGTCATTTCCCCTTCTAATGTGCCTGCTAAAAAAGCAAAATCGTTGAATTGTTATGGGCGGGAGGGGACAGGTAGGTATTCTACTTCACCATTCAACCCAGCATCCTCATCAACAGCTAGTACGCCGCCAACAGTCTCACCTACCACTCCCCAACTATAAGTCAACTATTACTGATGGTTGGTTTGTCATTTCCCCTTCTAATGTGCCTGCTAAAAAAGCAAAATCGTTGTAATTGTTATGGGCAGGGAGGGGACAACGAACAAGAGGTGAAATGGGCAGTGAGATATTCCACTCCCCAACTATAAGTCAACTACTACTGATAGTTGGTTTGTCATTTAATCTTCTAATGTACCTGGTAAAAAAGCGAAATCGTTGAATTGTTAAGGGGACAGTGAAATAAATCATGAGATACGAACTGCAATAGTTTTGCTATTCCACCCTCTAACAATAGTCAAACTATTACCGATGGTTGGTTTGTCATTTCCCCTTCTAATGTGCCTGTTAAAAAAGCAAAATCGTTGAATTGTTATGGGCGGGAGGGGACAGGTAGGTATTCTACTTCACCATTCAACCCAGCATCCTCATCAACAGCTAGTACGCCGCCAAACAGTCTCACCTACCACTCCCAACTATAAGTCAACTATTACTGATGGTTGGTTTGTCATTTCCCCTTCTAATGTGCCTGCTAAAAAAGCAAAATCATTGTAATTGTTATGTGCAGGGAGGGGACAACGAACAAGAGGTGAAACGGGCAGTGAGATATATTGTTTCTATTTCACTCCCCAACTATAAGTCAACTACTACTGATAGTTGGTTTGTCATTTAATCTTCTAATGTACCTGGTAAAAAAGCGAAATCGTTGAATTGTTAAGGGGACAGTGAAATAAATCATGAGATACGAACTGCAATAGTTTTGCTATTCCACCCTCTAACAATAGTCAAACTATTACTGATGGTTGGTTTGTCATTTCATTTTTTTGTGTGCCTGCTAAAATAGCAAAATGGTTGAAATTGATTATGAACAGGGTGGGGAGAGCGATAAAGAGGTGAGATAGGATACGAACAGCGAGACAGTTTTGCTATTCCTCCCTCCAACAATAGTCAAACTATTACCGATGGTTGGTTTATCATTTAGTCTTCTAATGTGCCTGCTAAAATAGCAAATCGTTGAAATTGCTATAGGGTGAAGGGTAGGGGTAAAGGGGACGGCGAGATGGTCCCACCAAGATGGTGCGACAGTACAAAACAGTAGAGAAGTCCAACCTGCCGCGACTCATACCTGGCAGGTGTTGGCAATGTGTCTGGTGATATACTCCAGAGTCACTGGGTCGTCCACAGTCAGTCTGTGACTCTGACACTCCACGCGAGCCATGTCCACCAACACACGCGCATCAGCCGTCAACCCTGTACACAACAGTCACAGTAAAACTTTTAACATTCGGCGCTTCCTTACATTGTTACGTAATGGCGTACTATATAATTGGCGAGCGGGAGCGAGCCAACCTAGTCGTCGCAACGGGCCGATTTTTCTATTTATTCATATACGACCGACCGTGGTGGTGGTACGTCGTGTAAGTGCGCATGCGCGACTTCATTTCACAACTAACTGTGGCAACCAGTCTACAGAGGATGCCCTCTGTCGTCGAAGAGAGAGGGAAAGACAACGTCGTGCCCGTGAGACTCCTGAGCAGAGAGAGGCTCGGCTTTCTCAACAAAGAGAACGTCGCGCCCGTGAGACTCCTGAGCAGAGAGAGGCTCGGCTTTCTCAACAAAGAGAACGTCGCGCCCGTGAGACTCCTGAGCAGAGAGAGGCTCGGCTTTCTCAACGCCGACTGCGTGAGACTCCTGAGCAGAGAGAGGCTCGGCTTTCTCAACGCCGACTGCGTGATAGGGAACGGCCAAGGGAACGCCTCGCCGCCGAAACAGCGGAAGAAAGGGAAGCACGACTAGCGAGACGTCGTGTACAAGATAGAGCTAGACGCGCTGCAGAATCAGGGGAAACGGAACAGGCCAGGCTCACACAGCTCCGAAACTACCAGGCAAGAATCAAGAACAGAGAATTGCCAGCGGGGAGAGAGAGGCCCGCCTACAGCTGGTACGACTTAACAAACAACAATGGATTGCCTCAGAGACTCCACAAGAGACTGAAGCAAGACGTCAGCGTGACCGACAAAGTCACATGCAGCAGGCAAGTCTACTGCCACTTCAACCTCAACTTCACCAGCCAATTGGTCCAATCAAACTTTGAAGTACTTTCAACACCTGTATACACATTTCTTGGTTGGATCGCTCCCGCTCGCCAACAATGGTTACCATTAAACTAGTATAGAACATAAATCAACTCTCAAAAAGTGAGAAGGGAGGAGAGAAATGAGGGTTTCTGACCTGCAAATGCTAAAGCTACGTGCTCATCCAGGTGGCATATCTTCCTGACTGTCCTCGCGTCTTGAAGCTTCGCCAGAGCTCGTTTCTCCACGGCCAGAACCACCGCGTCCTCGCCACGCACCGCAACCTGTGTTGGTGCGCGACAATTAGAAAACCAAGCGTTTGTCCCGAGTTTTCTGTCTTACCGCGGTCGATCCTTTCTTCACGGCTTCCTGTGCGTATTCCACTTGGAAGAGGTGGCCATCAGGCGAGAATACGGTCAGCGCACTGTCGTACTTTCCGCTCATGACCGTCTCTTAGCTCTGGATCTACACGCAGCACATGGGGGCTGGGTCTGTCTCTATTCCAGCACGGCACCGATTGGAACGGAGACGGCTGGGGCGGAGCGAGGGAGGCGGAGCTGAAATACTGCAACACCATTGGTTGGAACATGGCGCGCTCTTGCCGCGAAGTGTAAAGCAAGCACTAGAGAAGGGAGTCATTCGGCGGGATCATGTCATCTTCTAGGAAGAGAAAGAGACAAACTGACGATAGCTTTCGTCAAAGCGTAAGCCCTGAACCCTTACGTACACCTTAGCTACAGCGAAAGATAATCCAAACAGTTTATGGAGCTGAGGGACGCTGGAGTGCCAGACACGGGGCCAAAGCGGCCCAGGGACAAGAAGATCGTCTCCCTGACCCCAGCCTCAGTCACCAGAGCCAGGATGGAACCCAGAGCCAGTGGTGGGAAGAGCAGAGAGAGACGGGGGAGGAGGGGAGGAAGGGGAAGGGGAAGGGCTTCTCCAAGAGGTGAGATAAGGATACGAACAGCGAGTTCTCCAATTGGACCGACACCACGGACACAGCTCAGAAACGACATTAGAGACCTGATCAACAGTGAGTGTTTACATAGATACCTCTCTGAAGTAGTGAAACTCAGGTTCTCCCCTTCTTGCCACCTTCCTTTCCTTCAAGATTTAGCACAAATTCTTTTTAAAATCAGAAGTTTCGAGATAGCAGTTTTGTTTGCTTATGCCTGCTATGTTTTTTGAGAGAATAAGAATTTGTCGGACTCTCAGCGAAAAGTTTGCAACAAAAATACTGGTGTTCACATGCTGTATCTTCTCCTGAGAGGTGCTGTGGAGCTGGGGGACGTGATGCCTGCTCCCCCCAGGACAGTTCTGACCCCCTACCAGCCCACTCCCGGGCCTAGCTCCAGAGGAGATGGTCCCACCACAGCAGTCAGCAACGCAACGCAATCAACATGTAACCAACCACACTCATACATATCTCCCAGATGTTTTTAAAAAAATTTATATTTGCCCATTGATATTCAGCTACAACTGTTGATACAGAGATGGAGGTACAAAGAGGGTGAGCTGTTCCTATATTTCCCCTTTCGATCCTCATCATAAACCTCTGTGTAGGGCCCAAATGGACAGCGAGACAGAATCTCATGCTCCTCCTCTAGGTACCCAATTTTTCCTAAACTATACACTTACTTTCGGTAAAATTCAGTGACAGAAGTGCCTCACATTACTGCAATGACGAGTGTGTAACTGTTCTTATGTAGCCTCTGTGTCATTGGCTGACATTGTAGAGGAGACACCTACTCAGGAATCTAGGGTGCTACGGAGGTTAGAACTCTATATATTTGCTGGTATTCTTTATAATACCTCCTTTTTATAGTGCCCTGAAGGGTGTTCACTCACTTTCGTCACTCCAGAAGAAGAGCTTGCTCTCGCAGACTCCGCACACCGTCTCTTTCGGAGATAACATCACTGTGGCCGAGTACAGTCCAGAGATTAGTGGGCGTGGCTCCGACTTCTCTCTCGGGTCCTCGACCTCTTCCTCTGTATCCACCACTCCATCTCCTCTCCCCTCCAGACCCCATGTACCTCCTGGTACGGATGTAGTATGCAGGACATGAAACACTGGCCTATACCTTTGTTGATGTGATGAGGCACAGAGGGTTAAAAGAACATTATAGAACGGCTACATTTAGCCAAACTCATAAACCCCCTCTTGAATGTGTACCTATGCCATTTTTTGGTCTAACTAAGCCTTGCAAATGTACTGTATTGTCTCGGTGCAAATTGTCTGTTCTCAGATGCTGCTGGCGATGTCTCTGAGCCAAGAGAGCCTCTAGAACAATTGGAAGATGACGACAGCATGGCAGAGAGAGAGGAGGAGGAGGAGGAGGAGGAGGATGAAGAGGAGGGGGAAGAGGAAGAGGAAGAAGATGGGGTGAATGTGAAAATGCAGACACCTCACTTGTTACCGAGACCTCCTAGCCCAACTTCAAGACAGGGAACTAGCCAGCAGAGTAGAGGGAGGTGAGAATGAACTGGCAATGGCACGTTCCTAGTCACAGTCGACTGGGTGGTTATCTTTCCTCTAGACGGAAGGGTGCAAGTAAAAAGACAAGAAAACCGAAAAGCGGCTCTCCAGCAGAAAAGTAGGCCAACACCACACATGAATTGAATCAGTTCATTGAGGCTGACACATGCAGTAGTAAAGAAATGTGTATGCATAAGCCACGAGCAGGACCTTGTATATGATCTCGTTTCACAGAGTCCATCCCAAACCACTGAAGACCCTGTCTCGTGCCCTGATCAAAAACCTGTTCATGCTGTCAGGAAAGAGGAGAGCAACATCCGACGCAGCGGCTATGGTCTTGAAATTGTGAGCCAGAAAATCTCTTATTGGTTCTGCCTAGTAGTATGCAGACTCTGATTCTATATTTTTGTCTAGTTCTGAAGTGTATCTGAAGCGATGCTCCAATGATCTAGCAGAATATGCCAGCCACGCAGGCAGAAAGACGCTGGAAGTGGATGACGTCATTCTGCTCATGAAAAGACAGAGGTTTATCACAGAGTCGGAGAGCTTCGAGTATCTGGTGAACACCCACCTACCACTGGAGTACGTGGAGGAACTGCTGCCTTGTGCCGTGGCCGGCAAAAAGATTGTTCCAACTCGTGTGAAATGACTTTGTTTTTTAGCTCACACACACGAATGCACATGAACGTACTCATCGTCATCAGTATGACATTGTTATGTTGGCGGGCGGAAAGCATAAAAAATCTCCAAACAATGCAGTGGAACTTCTCCCTAAGGTATGTGGAAACCTCGTATTGGTGTCCGAACTCGAAAATGCGCATGCTCATAAAAGAGGGTGGGGCTGAACCAGCACTGCGCACGTAGCGATGTCCCGATTGCAGTGGTTGGTGTGTATCTCGTCCCTGGCGTCCCTGGCCAGTTGCACGGTCAACTTCACGACAGTCTTCACCCACGGCGAGGGCGGCTGGCCGTGTATCCGCATTCCCTCCATAACCCTGTGCAGGGGGACCTTGCACGCCTTCGCCGAATGCAGGAACAGGACGGGAGACGGCTGCATGCCTACCACCAAGAGCCACACGACTGCAGACAAACCAGCGAGTGTTACTGCGGGGGTCTGCTACAAGAGCTCTAGCGACGATGGTGCTACGTGGAGCGAGATAAAACAGGTTGTGGCCGGGGCAACCCAACCAACCGTTGCTTGCATTACAGACAATCACCTCCTCCTACAATGCAACGTGAGTTCTTCTGCAGTAAGGTTCACTGGTGATTCGATGAGCTTTTGATGATGTAGGTTGGTACTGAAAATAAAGCAGTCTTATCCATGGACAATGGAATGACGTGGGGTCCACCATACACTGTTTATCTGGGTGGAAATGATTGGGCATATGTTGGTCCAGGAAGAGGTCTTGTACTGACATCAGAGAAAAGTCCTACTCCTGGGAGGATACTGTTAATTGGGCATCATGGTGCATACGAGGTCAGCAATTTCACTACTGATTATACTCCAGAGTAGTATCAACCAAAAGTCCTAGGAAATTGAATCTGAGTCTGACTAGAGTGGGTATATTGCGGGTGTGTGTCTTGCAGTATGACCTGGTGTGGTACTCGGATGATGCCGGGCAGACGTACACTGTTTCGGAGACGGTGCTACCCAAGATGGACGAGGCTCAGTTGGTGGAACTGAGCGACGGACGTATCATGGCTAACATGAGAAACAATCACCTCAACTCATGCGACTGCAGAGCTGTTGCTATTAGCAGCGACGGTGGAAAGACCTTCGGTAACATCACCTACGACTCAACTCTGATCTCCCCAGTAATACAATCATTGCGCTGATCTTTTTAACTTCATACTGCTATGAATTGTTGTACCACACGGTATGAATACTCTTCCTGTGTGTTTAAGTGAAAAGCCATTCTTGCATACACGGGCTAATGGTGAATGAATGTGCTAACAGTAATACTCAGGTGGCTGCCATAGCACCAGGGCCATAGACCACGCACCCACAATGAATGTACTTGCATATGCTTTTTATCTTCCCTGCATGCAGGTGTGCATGGCCTCCATTATCGGCATGAGCAACGGATCACTGGTGTTTGCAAACCCAGCCTCCAAGACTGAGAGGGTCAATGGAATGCTCAGACGAAGGTATGCAAAAATTCATACTATCTAACCACCTTCTCACAGTTTAATTCAAAAGGAATTGTGCACGCAAATGTTGTTCTTGGGCAAAAAATATCAGGAATTGCAGGGTGTCCTTTTTGTCGCCATTTTCTCTGGTGTTGTACTGTTTGTCATTATTGCAGTGATGATGGGGGTAAGACTTGGGTGAGGAGTTGGCTGGTGACTACTGAGGACTATGCCTATTCCTGTCTCACCCACGTTGCCAGAGACGACCAGGTGGGACTACTGTGGGAAACATCAGCAAAAGACTGCACCGGCCCCTCCTGCCAGCTGGTTTTCTCCAAATTGACAGTTCTTTGACGTTGTATCACTGTCCCTCTGCTGCGCATGCGTCGGGTGCACGGGTGTTCCTCCTGCGCATGCGCGCTTAGTACGGAAGGTCGAAGGTCATCTTTGGTGCGCATCATCAAGAATAAAAGGCGCCTTCTTCCCCGTTTAGCGCAGCAGCAAAAGCCAACTGCTTTGCATGGACAGGAAAATCGCAATGACCAGTAAAAGAATGATGTTAGGTGAGATTACTCGCCATTAGAATTGTAGTATCACTAATCTACAAGTTGGGACTACAAAATTCAAAACTATAGTTATGTACATTCAAATCCTTACTGTAGGAAACCTGAGGTTTATACGCTCTGGGGAAGAGGAGAAGGATGGAGGAGGGATGCTAAAGATGGCTGCAGAGGTCAGTGTGTTTTACCTTCCCACAAATATTTGCCTTGACCCGATACAAGCGATGTGGTGTGTGTTGTTGCTGTGCAGGAGGTACGGAAAAAGGGGGTGGAGCCACAGTGGGAGGGGCCTGGGATAACCAATAGAGACAAGGGACTGGTCTATGTCCTTGACAATTTCGACTGTCCTGACTTCAAACTGCTTCTGGGCAAATGCAGGTAAATATTGCCTCTAACTGTGGCGCTTGATTCACAGTACTTTGCCGGAGTCCGCGACGCAACGATGAATGCAATTTTTTCATATTGTAACAGGATCGTAGGGCCAGCTGTGGTGTTGGCTTATCTGAACAAGGGCTGGGTGAGTCCATTCACACGCATCTAGGCTTGCCTATTTCAATTTCAACTTCTTTTTCCGCGTACCCCTCCCTCCCTCTCCCCTCCCTCTCTACCTACCCTGTCTGTGCCCTCAGCCGCTGCCTGCCAGTACCCAGCCCATATTCTCCCTCACCATGAGAGGTGTGGTCGCCTGCTTCACTCAGACTGGGGCCAGAGACAAGAGGGTAAGTAACACAGCTCACACTAGGGAAGCTTTCATCAGTAACCGTGTATCTTTACACTTGATTTATTAATCATGCCACGTATAGGTATGGTTCCCATATCCTCAGGCCATAGTGCAATAAGATACAGAATTGTCCGATACTTTTTCTTGAAGCAAGTCTGGTCCTCTAAATTATTTTTACCATACTGTAATGTTCTACAATAATTGTACATCTGAAAATACTTGTACTTGCCAAAAATGTGTTGCGTGTGTCTATTATCACTTAGTATATAGGGATATGCACCATTTTTAATGAAAAATTTACTGTTTCCCTATAATTGTCATTTGTCATTTGTTCTCCCTGTGTGTCAGGAGAGACTGTCCCACCTGGTGCTGCTGATGGGTGGCAAGGTCCAGAAGGACTACACTCGGCACGTCACACATCTCATCGCCGGCCAAGTCGGGAGCACCAAGTACAACGTGAGCCCTCGCCCATAATAGAGACCCTGCACCACTATTAATAAAGTCAATCAATCCAGAAAACAATTAGGGTTATATGTAGCTGACATACCTGCTTTAATGTATGTAAAGTTGGTACTTTGAAGTGGTCATGCAAAACTTTAATAGTCGTCTTTACGTTCGGAATGTGCAAAACACAATTGCACACAATATACGTAGCATTCGTAACATCTGTATGAATATGCACTGATTTCTATATACTCCCATTGAAACGGTAGGGAAGGACCCTTTTGGCAATGAAGTAAACAGACGGACCAATCATTGTGTGTGGTGTGTGTGTGTCAGGCTCTGTGGCACCATTGTATGTACATATGATGTAGGTGGCGAGGGACCTTGGCATGCCCGTGATGCTGCCGTCCTGGGTGGACCACTGCTGGACAGCTGGCCTCGACTCACACATATCAGCTCTCGACCCTGACATAGTGAGTCCTCTTACATACCGTAATATCGTGGGGCATTTTTTGTGGCTCGTACTCTGACAGGTCTGTGGTGTTTGAACATGTTATGTAACATTACATAATATGGCATGACCCTTAAACTAACATGTGCGTGGTATTTGCATAATGTATCGTGTTAAACATCTTGCATTCAAAAACTTTCCACTTTACGAACACTCTTTTCCCCTCTCCTCTGCTCTCCTCTCCCGGCGCAGCTAAAGGCACACGGGTGTCTCCCGTTCACAGGGTGTACGGTGACGGTCACAGGTCTGGAGGAGAGGGAGAGGAGGAAGGTGAGGCAGGCAGTGGAGGCCAATGGAGGAGTCTACTCCGGGGAACTCACCAAAGATGTCTGCACCCATCTCCTTGTCGGCAGTACCACCAGTACGTTTACTGCTACTACTACATGGCAGTTTTACATGGACTCTATAAGTGTATTAGACTAAGTGTATAAAGTCTATAGAACCACTCGGAGCTCCTAGCTATCTCGTTCCCAGGGTTTCCAAGCTTCCTTACAGTTACTTATTGTACGTATGATCTAGCCGAGTACTAGCTCCAAAGAAAGTTTTTGTGGCTCTGTGAAAGTAGAAATAAAGAGGCAATGCTAATGGTTTGTGGGTTTTTAATCAAAAATCACTGATTAGAAGGTTTCCCATGTCATGTCACTCTTCTCTGTTTGCCTGCCAGGTCCCAAGTACAAGTTTGCCCAGCAGTGGCAGATATTCTGTGTGTCGTGTCAGTGGCTGTACGACAGTGCAGAGAGAGGTTACTGTCTCTCTGAGGCCAACTACAGCGTGGGAGACCGAGGAGGAGGAGGAGGAGGAGAAGGAGGGGGAGAAGGGGAGAAGAAAGGCACAGATAAAGGTAAGTTGAGTGTGCTGGCATCTTTACAGTGAACATACACATGTAGAACTCGACTAGCTGTAAAATTGTTCGTTTAAACTTTCCCTCTGCTGCTTTGGTATAACAACTCCTTACCAATGCTACGCTCTGAAACCAATCATGGGGTTATTTCTCGGTGTGTGTTTGTGTCCGCATGCATGTATGTGATTAATTGCATTCATTCGACCGGAGGGAGCACTAACTAGAATGAGAACACACAATTTGCACAGTAGTATATACAGTGGGACAAACGCTGCTGTGGATCGAGTCGTAAAAAGTTGTGCTGCAAGTGTAAGCAGATGTTGTCCTGACAGGGCCTGGGACCGGCAGTGGTATACCCAAACCTGAGTGGACAGGGGCTCTGGGGAGCTACTCCATCCCCATCTCACCTCCCACCACTGCCTTCCTCGACGGCTGCAAGATATTCCTGTCCGGCTTCTCGGAGCCACAGCTACAGAAACTGCACAAGATTGTCAACCTGGGAGGAGGGGCCAGGTATCTAGTACACTTGAACTGTTCTAGGTTTCATTTAACCTTGAATGTGGCAGTAGATCAAGGGCTGAATTTAGAAATGTTACTAAAGATAGAACTAACAATAGAGCCCAGTGCAAGAATGCAATTGTAGTTACAAATTTTATACTGCCTCATTTGCAGTGTGCATAGTATTAACTGGTGTAGCAAAAGGTCTTGTTAGCCCAATATAGCTCCAGCTCCTAATACCAGACGTTTCAATTTCAAATCAAGCAGCATGTATGCGTATCTTTCTGCTTCTTCAGCTGTGTACAGTGTAGATTGTAGATGCTCGGGCGGTGTGCGACGATGCCTTCTTTCATTGCAGGTACAATCATTTGAGTGACAGTCTGACACATGTGGTGCTGGGTGTCCAGGAGCCCTCCACAGTCTCTGGCATCAGAAACTTGGGAGAAACGTGAGTTGGCCTATACATAACTTTTCAAAATCAATGTGGATTTTGATAAACAGTGTGGCCTAGAGGCTAAGTCCTGCGCAAGTGGCACATAGGACCCGACTTCCGATCCCTGCCTTAACACTTTTTTTACTTTTTTCACCTCATTAATCATTCATAAGTACATAATTCACAGTAAGAAGGGTTAATGGGTAGACCGCCAAACCAATATTAGATGTATAGCCAGGGTTCAACGGTAAAGCATGATTCTCTGTCCATTTAGACTCCACGTTGTGAGTGCACTGTGGTTGTTGGCCTGTTGCACTGAGGGAGAGAGGGTTGACGAGGCTCAGTACACCTGCCTGGATCTCTGCTCACCTGGTAAGGGTGTCGGGAGTGAGGGTGTGAGTGGTGACGGGAGGAGGGTGGGAGGGAAGAGGAAGAGGAGACTAGAGGAGGGAGAGGGAAGGGGGGATGGAGGTAAGAGACCTCGTGTGGTGGCTGGAGAAGAAGATGGAGAGGGACAATGATGAAACAAGATTGGACGAAAAGGCACTTTTGCTGCAGTACCAGAACGGTGAGATAGATTCAGAGCAAAGTATAGGTATTAGTACTTCATGATAGGAAGAGGTTTGAAGAATAACATAAAGCGCGGTACAGACAATTCCGTCTGCAAAATATCATGCGATACAGACGACTAGGTGGGC